AAATACAATATGCACTCCGAAAATAAAGAATCCCATGCTGGTTTGAGTGGACGACTTGCGCCTTAGACTAACTTTTGATCGAAGTGACTAGAGGAAAATAAATCACCCTAGCTTGAAAGATCTTATTAAATCAGTAAAACTGCCAAGTTTGGCTGCAAAATTTTGTAAAATACGGAAAATATAGCCATGCGAAGTTGGCAAATTTTGTATACTTTTGTATTACGTGCGGAAATGTGTAACTAATTTAGTTACAAACTTCCGGTCGTAATACAAAAGTATACAAAAATCGACAACTTTGCATAGGTATATTTTCCGTATTTTACAACAATTCGCCGTCAAACTTGGCAGTTTTACTTATTTGAGTAAGCTCTTTCAGAAAATGTCCTTTTTATCGCCGAGGTAAGAAATTAGTCTAAAGCGCAAGTCGTCCATTGGCTACGTTTTAAGCTTGTTCAGGTAGAAGTTTTGTGCGACCCTTAATCCGTCCTCACTCTCTCCGATCTTCAGTTGACCGCTTGATTCCCCAACCGCACTTTATGCGAAATCGTTTGTCAATAGCTAAATATATTATTGGAGTCGACACAGTAGTAGCATGTGCTGCAACGAGACCAGAAAAATACGCACAGGAATAATATGAAAACAACCCAGTGCTCATCAACCCAGCCAAAGCTCCATGTGGCATCCAAAAAATGGAGTAGCAGACACACATTGTGATTGCTTGTTTGTGAAAACTGATTATTTTCGCCCGCGATGCTTGTTGTAACACTTGTTCGGTCTCATGATGATGCTCTTTCAATTTGGAATGTATTTTGTGGAGGCTTGTGCGGATAATCCTTGAGCAAATAGTAATCCAAATGGTAGTTAGGAATATAAGACAGGCGATTGAGGCTTGTTCTCCACCAGTGAATGCCTTTCTATGCGTTTCGCAAATACCGTTTCCTTGTATGCTGGTTACAAGGAGGCCAGAATGCGCTGTCGACACGAGAACTACCGATAAAATAAAATTGGCTGCAATGATTTTGACAGACAACCGGAAGCCAAGCAACCGATTGCCTGGAAATTTTATTATGTTCTCGTAAGTAATGAAACATAACGCAGCCATGGAGGCCAAGTTGTTGACAAAAGATATAAATAAGATGTGATTATAGATTATACAGAATCTCTTCGCAGATGGCACAATATTAAGCCTGCCCAACAATTGTCCTAACAAACCTCCAAATATACTAAGCAAGTTCACGGCAACTATGATCAACAGAAAAAGTCTGTCTTGCCTTTTCCCGGCTGACAATTTCTTCAAAACGAGGCAAAGCAGAACGATATTCACAAATAATCCTACAGCAAATACTCCCCAACCGAATCCAGCTATGATAACCGTGGCAAAGGGAGAACATTCTCCAAAATCAATAAAATTGGTTGAATTCGTTATGTTTGCTGACGAATTCATGCTTGAAACTAACTCTAATGAGAACCCGCGGCGTTCTTATATATTGAAGCAGGAGGCGAGAATAGATAATTAGGACTGTGTTAGCGTTGTTTCACCGTAACGATATTGTTGAGACAGTCAGGCCGGCGGATTCTTGCAATTATTTTCACAAATTATTTTCTTGTCGGTTAAAATTTTGATTTTGAACAACAGGTATAAGTTTAGGAATGACAGGTAATACCCAAGGTCCCAGCAGGCACATATATGTACAGTATGTATGGTTCAAATAATTGGCATAAAGTTTCATCGATTATCTCACAAGAATAAGCAAAATAATATAATCGAAAACATATTCGTGCAACTGTATGAACTTGCCCAATATACAATACCCGATTTAAAATCAAGCCGCCAAAGTAATTACCGCAATTATATAAAGTGGTTAGGTCAGATTTAGACGTCGAACTTTTGAAGTGCTGATTATAATTTTGAAGAGCTAAATTTAGTTTTTGTTTCAGATCATTTGCATTGCGGTTTGACACATGAAAAGTTCGACTTTGGAAAGGGACTGATGGATTTCAACTCCACTGGCTTTATTGTATTCAGGGCCATACTAATCTCCACTGCCCTTACTGTAATGATGTAGTATAACATAATATATTAATTCGACAGTCACTGGGATTGAGTATTTGAGTAAATGAATCAGAGAAAGAATGCCCCGATTGTCTTTATATTATATAGGCACTGGTGCCATTTCTGATATGCCTTATTACATCTAGCTATATACCTCGTAATTACAGTCAAATCTCATTTAGTTCAGTTTACTTCAAGACTTGAGACTGCATAAATTTTGAGATAAACATATGCCAGCACTCCATGCCATCCGCCAGACTTCGAGCCTTGAAATCGGCAGCCCAACTATGATGGGCATTTGATGGCTCTAAGCAGTCGGTAAACGATACGGGCATCGGACTTCTGATGCGTTTTCTGCCTTAATATAACAGATATCTAGATTTCTAGGCGCTGATTTTCTAGGAGAAGCTGCATGATTAACATTTGAGTTATGATTGTAGTTTTGTGTTGAGATCTATAAGAGCCCACTGATGTGCCATACTTTGAAAAACGACTTATTTAAAGTTTACTGAGGTCTTTTGATTTTAGCATGTTATTGATCCAAGGGCCAAGGCTCTGAAGTAGATTTCAGCTGGTCCCACAACATAATAGCAGCTGAATATCTAGCAGCTGAATATTGTGTTGCCCACAAAATTGCCTCATTTTTACCTTTTCTCTCTGTGATACACACTTCTATTGTACATTGTAAAAAATCGGAACTCTTTCAAATGTATGTTTATTTAGCTGTGTTGTATTGTAGTAATCCGACAAATTTAATCTCCAGTAAATCAAACTCAACTGACATGTTCTTAAAAAACAATATTATTTTAATTTTCCAATTTTTTTTTCATTTAACTTGTCCTTTATCTGAGTACAAACTATATTTTGTCTTCTCACCTGCGTGATTGCAGCCACTATTATACTTTATTTCAATTTTATTTATTCCAATTACTTCTCAATACATTGTTGTCTAGTTTTAATTTGAAAGGTTCGCTTTTCTTTGATGCACGGCTTTTGAGGACGGCGCCAACGAACTTTACCAATTCCCAGACGGTTTGCACCCAAAAACCCGTATTACACCTTCTACCATTTTCTATTGGGTTTAAACCAACTCGAATTTCTTACATCAAATATGTTTGACTTCTTTTTTTGCTTACGTTTTATATACTTGAAATTTACCAAGTATATATTTTGATATTGTCAAGTGTTTACTGAGGTCTAATCTTATATGGATGATAGTGCGTTATGGAAATTTAATACACTCCTATAGAACTAATATGCCGATACATTTCTTATCGTATGTAAGATTTTGAAGAACGGCGGGACAATTTATGCTTACAATTGCCAATAGTTTTTACAATAAAATTTTAGGTGTTAATGCAGTGTTGCATGCATTAATTACAGTGGTGCTAAACACACCAAATCCGGCAGTGGCGTAAATATATGTAGACCTCCTATAGGATATTACACGGTAACGATGTAGATAATTTTATGTAGGATATTACATGATGGCGAATAGATATTGATTTTATGTTCGACTGACAGAAATAATATCTCACGAGTGAGTAATCTTGTTCCCCGAGCCCGCGATTCTTCTGGCGAGAAAACAAAGGCTCTGCATGGGCTCTGGGATAATCGAAATTAGAAATGATTCTGCTTGGTTGTCCACGCCGTTTCAATTTCGAAACATTAAACGAGTTGTTATGCCTGCATGCTGTACTGAATCATAAGCGGAGCTGCCACGCATTCCCACAAGATGTCTGCAAATGCTATAGAGGCTCAAAACAAATAAATTTGCCAGGCGGTCTGGAAAGCCGTCGGTCAAAATATTCGTCAAAATCACAAAGAAAACCAACACGAGCCCCACGAATCGAAATATTACCACAACTGCAATAATGAAGATAGTTTCTACTTCACTTAAATACTAGAGGTGGAGCATAAAAAAACGTTTCACCTGAACGCGATGTTTGCTAAAAGGAATATCGATCAGACCTGTTGTTTGGCATATTAGTTTTCGATACGAACGTCTTTGTATATTAATTATTATAATTTAGCTCTTTTGTAGAGTATTTGTAAAATACCTTTTGCGCATGCAGTTCGCGCATGCATGTTTGCAAAAAGGTTTCTTCACTACGGGTACTGTTGAACAATTTTTTCAGATTTAGCAAATATATAGAAACCACTTTAAATTCAGCGTTACACCTTCTATCTATAGCGACGCAAAATGCGTAATTAAAAAAAGGGTAATGACCGGTCATTGTATGTTTTTCATCCAAACGTCTAACAGCATATATGTGTATATATATGAGGCTAAAATGAAGTTTCTCGTTTAAAATCGTTTAAAAACGACATTGGGCAAGCAAAGATTTCAGGCCGACACAAACATTGGATGCGACTCTCTATTAAGGCGACGCAAAAATTTCTCATTCTCAGAAGCCAATAAATTATATTCTGAAAGAACATTTTGAGCGATATTGGTACCAGACGAGTCAAAATATACTATCGATCAGCAATTACCAAGAATAACATAACACTGTCAAAATTAGAAAATTTTTAAAACTGAAAAACTCGTACAAATCGCGTCGCGTTGCCGGATCGTGTCCGGTGTGGGTCGGCATTTAATGGAGCGACTAAAATCGTAAAACTGATCGATAATTTAATAAAAATGATCCAAACATTTGGTGTCAAGGCTAGTATGAGGGATATTCATTCACTAGTTCACTTAGTTTTCAGTTGTTACTAAGTGAGAATCAGTCTTACGAGTAAAAAATCGCACATAAGTAAATGTTCGGTTTTACATTACTTTATCACATTAACTACATTTGAAAGTTCGACCTCATTAAGCGGCATCATACGAGAGCTCGTTAGTAAAGTCATTGTATGGCCATCAAAAGAACATCTGCTAAATTCTCATTCATTTTAAATGAACACATTAAAACCAGGATCAAATTGCATTAATCATGTATAAATCATCACCTGGGGCGATATAAGTCTTGAAGCAGTTTAGAATACTTCGGAAATAGTAGCTGCTGATTATCTCCCAGTGAGCAAGGACGAAAAAATAATGGAGATAAGCCAGGTCTAAAAGGAAGAAACTTTCGAGCATTTGAATTAACAGTCAATCCATTCCGAGCCAAAAAAATGCTATACCTTTATTTAAGTAAAGAAGAAACTATCTGCATTTTTGCTGTTGTGCTAATATTCGGACTGCTTGGGTTCGTGTTAAATCTTCTCTTGATATCCTCCATTACTTTGACCGACGGCTTCGCAGAGATTCCGGCAAATTTTTTTGTTTTGAGCCTAGCCGTTTCAGATACCATGATAGACTGCGTTGCAGCTCCTCTTATGATTTACAACATGTACCACTTCGCGTTTGAAGCCTTCCTCGTAGTAGGCAAGTTTTTTGGCTTGGCAACCACTGGAAGCGTATTCCTCTTAACCCTGAATCGCTTCATCTCCACAGTAAAAGCTTTGAAGTATCCCACCATTGTGACCTTTAAACGAGCCGTAACTATGGTTGGCGCTATTTGGTTTGTCGCCCTCCTTGTCGCTGTCAAGACTACAGCGAGTTTAATCTCCGATCTGGTACCAAATGTGAGTGTTGCACGGAACATCGTCGTATTCTACGTTCTAACATCAATTGCATTGTGCGTGTATATGTACAAATTAGGCAGAAAACACGCGAAACGTGTGAAACAGCAGGCGTTTGCCGTAACCGGTGAACTTCAGGCAGCCTCGCATGAGTTCAAAACGTTACGTACGCTGTTTCTCATCGCCGGGAGTCTTGGAGCATGTATGTTGCCAACAACGGCACTATTTTTAGTCATTGATAGGGAAGAACATCCTGCTCAGTTTCATCGTGCATTCAGTTTTATTGCACCCTTGGTTCTTCTAAACACAATTATAGATCCTTTTGTGTATTATTTTCGAAGTAAAGGATTTCGCATGTCACTGAAAACGTTAAAAAGGAGGTTTACAAATTCTGGATGTTTTTATTAACACGATCAAAGCAATATTCTTGTGATTAGCATCTTTTGTCAGTGTAGACAGTTACAAATTGATTCGAATATTAAAATTAAAACCGGGATACATGGAAATTATTCCATAATGATAGTAAATTCTGTTAGCATTTTTATTCATTATTTTCCCCGAGCCGGTGCGGAGCACCGGGGGAGGGTACTAATTCCGCTCGGATATTTACACCCAGGATGTGCAAAGGCGAAATCAAAGTTGTCCGCCATTATGCAATGGACCTCACGCCATGGACGGTCTTCTACGTTATGCGCATGCGCCAGTGTACTAAGCTCTTGATTGGTCGAGACAAATATTTGTATTTTTAAACATGCATAACTGTCATTTCGCAAAATTTTGAAGAAACTTATGAATATATTTTCATATTATTTATATTTTCATAAATATGGAATATATATACTATTTTTAATTACATCAGAGGGAAACTCGAATCAGTCGAATGTGGTCAGGACTTTTTACGGTTTAACAAAAAAAAACAAGACTAAATTTTCGACCGAATTCACCGTGTATAATGAAGTCGGAAGATTTTACACTTGAAAATAAGACCCGGCGCAGGTATGAAAAGTCATTTTTTGTGGTAAACACAACTTTAGTATTCTCAAACGTATTTCACTACAAATCTGAATGTGTAATATGATAGACGACATTATAATTTCGTTTAAAAACTCCATTTTTTCAAAATATTCGCGTGCAAAAACCAGTCGAGGCGTAAACATAAAACTTTGGAAGTCGTATGAGACGTTTGGTGTTATATTTCATAGTAATTAATAATTGAAATAATTCACCATAACACTGACTATAGATGAGTAATTTAACTTCCAGAAAATGGTTAGAATCTTGTCGTATTTTTTGCCTTTTTTTCACAAAAATATGAGGGTAAACTTTAATTCTTTGAAAATATACGGCCGTTGCGATGTTGGTTGCGAGTTGCTATGACTACAGTGCTTCCGCTTCCAGAAATATATTTCCATTCTTCTCTTCTCACATACCAACACCAAGTACCCTCCAAACACCCCAACCCACACAAAATTTTCCAACTATCATGTCACCATCCCTATGCTTAACTCATTTCGCTTAACCGAGGCGAAGGGTTGCTGCATGCATGTATTTCTAGTAATATTAATTATAGAGATGAAAAAAGTGTGGAGGGGTAGGGTTGGGTCTGAAATTGTTTTTTTATTGATATATGTTGAATATAGACACTCAACATTATTGCATGATTATATAAAGTTTAAGTTAACTATTAGATGGACGCACATATAGCAGGCGCATGTTACGTATATAAAACGTTCTTGTTATGTTCGCTGTAAAAGGATATTAAATTTACATATTTGTACGATGTTTTCGCTGGATATTTATCTATAAAATTAACAGGTTATGGGCCCAGTCATCGCCAAACTGTGAGGTAACTGTCTATTGCGTTATTGACCTGTATATTTTACGAAAATGGCCCAGGAAGACAAATTATCGATCGATAAACTTGAAGGTGCGAGAAATTGGCAAATATGGAAGTATCAGATGACCGCAATTCTGGAAGCTAAGGAACTGTACGGTCATGTTGATGGAACGTCGATTCGCCCAAGTACATCGGAAAGCAGTTCCGGGGCAGAAGCGTCGTTTGAAAAGGCTCAAAAGAAGACAAAAGCTCTCATAGTCACGTCTATTAAATCCGATCTTATTTATCTTATAACCGAATGCCACACTCCAAAAGAAATATGGGACACGTTGAAAAATCGATTTGAACGAGATACGATTGCGAACAAGCTGTATCTAAAGCAACAATTTTTCTCCTTAAAGATGAAAGAATCAGACCATCTTGATGAACACTTGCGAAAAATGAAAGTGATCACTGATCAACTAGCTGCTATCAAAGCTACAATACCGGAGGATGAACACATAGTCGCTCTACTTTTAAGCCTGCCAGGTTCATATAACACTTTGGTTACGGCACTGACTGCAAAAGGAGATGAATTAAACCTGAGTCAACTGCATGCAGCATTGTTAAATGAAGCAGAAAAACGCAAGCAAAGCAAAAGCCATGCTAGTGGTAGTGGAGGTAGTGATGGCCAATCTGCGCTACAACACAACAAGTCTGATCGAAAGCCTGTCAAGTGTTATGGATGTGGCGAGGAAGGTCACCTTATTCGAAATTGCGCTCAGAACAGGAGGAAGAAACAGCATAGACGTAATGAAAATCAAGGGAAATTTGATAAATCAAAGCATAATGCTTCTCCTGCTGATGGGGACAGTGGTAAGGATGATGGGAGTGGCGCCAATGTTTTTGCTGTTGGATTGAATGTTGCAAAAGATTATGATTGCTGGATTATCGATTCTGGTGCGTCTCAGCACATGACGTCAAATTATAGTCTACTGGTGAACTATAAGGAATTTTCAGAGCCAGAGCCAGTTGTTCTTGGAGATGGCCGATCTGTTCACGCTCTTGGCACTGGCGATATACCCATTACCATGCTTCTTGGCCCTAAAAAGAAAGATGGACGAAAATCAACGATTACCAAAGTCCTGTATGTTCCCAAATTAGCTGCAAATCTCTTTAGTGCTCGTGCAGCAGCGATGAAAGGAAAAGTGGTGCAATTTGGTCATACTCTTTGTTGGATAAAAGATCCTCAAGGAAAAGTCGTAGCAAGAGGACGTCTTGTTGGCAACATGTATCGTTTGGATTGCAGAATAGAAAGACAAGAAGAACAGGCGTCAGTTGCAGAAGGATCAACTAATAAATTTAAGCTGTGGCATCAAAGGATGGCTCACTTGAATGCAGGACAGATGAAGTTGATGGTTTCAAAACAGATTGTAACAGGCACCGACATGCCGGGATCTGGGAAACTGGACTTTTGCGAAGCCTGTGCCGAAGGAAAATCTCATCGAGCACCTTTCAAACCAGTGGGAGAAGTACAATCAAAGAAACGATTGGAGCTTGTCCATAGTGATGTTGCTGGACCTATGAAGATTGAAAGTTTTGGTGGTGCTAGGTATTTCGTGACGTTCATTGATGACTATTCGAGGTGTGTAACCGTTTATCCCATTGCACACAAATCAGAAGTCCTAGATAAGTTCAAAGAATGGGAAGCAGTTGTTACAAATCAAGCGGACTGCAAAATCAAAACTTTGCGGACAGATAACGGAGGTGAATATATGTCGACTGAATTCCAAAATTTGCTCAAAGAAAAGGGCATCCATCACGAGACAACTGTACCCTACTCACCACAGCAAAACGGCATCGCCGAGCGTATGAACAGGACCCTCCAGGAAGCTGCATTATCAATGATCCTACACGCGGGAGTATCCAAGGGTTTCTGGGCTGAAGCTGTTTGTTCAGCAGCATACATAAGGAACCGTGTTATCACAACTGCAACTGGAGTCACCCCATATGAACGATGGTACAGTAAAAAACCAGATGTTTCAAACCTTCGTGTTTTTGGCTGCACTGCCTACGCCCATGTACCTGATTCCTCACGTCAAAAACTCGACCAGAAAGCTGTAAAGATGCGATTTGTTGGCTATAGTCTGACACAAAAAGGATATCGATTGTATGATGAAGACAAGCGTAAGATCTTCATCCGTCGAGATGTCACCTTTAACGAATCTGATTTTGGACTTACGACTGAAGTTCAACTGGATATCGAAAATCAGAATGATGCGTGCTCAGAGGAAGAATCAAAAAGGAAACCAACTGACATCAGGTGCTCAACAAGAGAGAGAAAACCGCCTGTTTATTATCACGATGAATATGCTAGTATTGCAAGAGCGAAGCATACAGCTCTCTATGTAACAGAAGTTGAAGAACCGACAACATTGAAAAAAGCACTCGAAAGTGACTACGGTGTACACTGGAAGACAGCGGCTGATTCTGAATACAAATCCCTAATGGAAAATGAGACCTGGGAACTTGTAGAATTGCCACCAGGAAGAAAAGCAATTACCTGTAGATGGGTATTTAAAGTCAAACATGATGAAAATGGGAAGATTGAACGGTTCAAAGGACGTCTGGTAGCGAAAGGTTTTCTTCAGAAGTCCGGGATTGAATTTGATGAAACATTTTCACCTGTGGTTCGGTTTACATCTATCCGTACTCTTTTGGCCTTCGCTGTCTCTAGAAATATGTTTGTCCATCAAATGGATGTTGTCACGGCTTTCCTGAACGGGACACTAGAAGAAGATATTTATATGGAGCAGCCTGAAGGTTATGTTGTCCAAGGAAAAGAACACCTGGTATGCCATCTAAAGAAATCTCTTTATGGACTTAAGCAGAGTCCACGATGCTGGAACAAGTCATTCAATGAATTTATGCTATCCCAGGGATTTGAGCAAAGTACAGCCGATCCATGTGTGTTTATTCGCAAAGTCGATGGTAAACTGACCGTAGTTGCTGTGCACGTTGATGACTTAATACTTCTAACCGAAAGCGAGCAAGAAATGATCGACTTAAAGGCGTGTCTCGCTGCCCGTTTCAAGATGAAAGATATGGGCAAACTACATTACTGTCTTGGAGTAAACATCAAATCACTGGACGGTGTTCTGCAAATAAGCCAAGGACAGTATATCCACAAGATATTAAACAAGTACAACTTACAAGATTGTAAACCTGTATCAACTCCGATGGACGTGAACGTGAAGTTGGTCAAAGATGATGGTATCAGCAAATCTGTAGATCCGGTTATCTATCAATCGATGGTGGGAAGCTTAATTTACGCAGCTATTGCAACACGACCAGACATCGCTCACGCAGTTGGTACTCTGGCAAAGTTTAACTCGTCTCCAAACGAAGCGCACCTTACCGCTGTTAAGCGAGTATTTCGATACCTGAAAGGAACAATTAGATTCCAGCTGCAGTACGAAACGAGTGACAAAAACATGGAAGGGTATTCCGATGCCGACTGGGCCGCAGACTCAGAAGATCGAAGATCAACTTCAGGAAATGTGTTTCTAATGTCCAACGGTGCCATTAGTTGGGCAAGCCAGAAACAACCCACCGTTGCACTTTTAACTGCTGAGGCTGAATATATCGCCTTGTGCCTGGCAACACAAGAAAGTGTATGGTTACGACAACTGAGCAAAGATCTGCAACTAGATTGTTCAAGTCCAACAATCCTTCACGAAGATAATCAAGGGACAATCGCAATGTCAAGAAACCCTGTTCTGCACAAGCGCACCAAACATATTGACATTAAATTCCACTTTGTGCGTGAGAAAGTACAAGATAAAACAATCGAACTTAAGTATTGTCCTACTCAAGAAATGGTTGCTGATATCTTCACGAAGCCTTTAACACGAGGACAGTTTGAATGTCTTCGAGCAAGACTCGGACTTGTACAAGTGTAGTAAATGCTGAGTGAGTGGGAGTGTTGAATATAGACACTCAACATTATTGCATGATTATATAAAGTTTAAGTTAACTATTAGATGGACGCACATATAGCAGGCGCATGTTACGTATATAAAACGTTCTTGTTATGTTCGCTGTAAAAGGATATTAAATTTACATATTTGTACGATGTTTTCGCTGGATATTTATCTATAAAATTAACAATATAGGGGTCTTTAATGGTGGTCTCTAAATTAAATAGTGTGACAAGAGGGGTTTTAGGACAAAGAGGGGTTTTGGACTAAAGTTTATATGCTCATATTATATTGTTATCATTAACATTGGTAACATACCAAGAAATCACCAAGAAGGTGTATACAATATAATGCCTCTATGTGTAGATCATCAGACTTCAAGGAATATCTTAGTTACTTTTATATATAAATGAAGTAACAATCAATAAAATACCTAAATAAGTTAAGATGATATTGCAATATTCACAAACAGACATCTTGCAACGTGAAAATCACAAGGAGGCAATTATAAACTAATCCCCAGCTGCCTCAAGTGCCATCAGGTACTTGAGTCAGTAAGTTTACCCCTTGATCCTCGAACAATTAAAGTTGGTGGGAAATTTTGAAAATATTCCACAGGAATTTTTTCTGTACCAACCACTGCGATAGCAACGAATGCTCTTGATGCTTTTGATGCAGCAAGATAAGTCAAACTAAAGACACCACTCATTGAAGGTGAAACAATTACAGGTGAAACACTTCTTAATGAACTGTTCTAAAAATTCAACTCTACTTGAATCACTTGTATCAAATTTATGCAAAGATTTACCGTAACCAGGCAAATCCAATGCAATAACTTGATAGCCATGCGACGCCAAAATATTCATGGTATTTAACTCAACCCAGTTTCTTGAGCTAAAGCTCATATCATGCAGCAATAGTACATCAAGTTTGGCGTTTCCTTCAGGAAAAAATTCTTGATAGTATACTACACCCTCGTTTATATAGTCATTCCATTCCAAGTAGAAATCTTTAAACGGATGTTGACGGGAACTACCCTTTCTCCATAGCAAAATACGATAAATTTTGACGAAACAAAATAATATAAACATAATTATTACGACGAGGAAGTATGTCCATTTGGAAAATTGCATCGAATACATTCGTACCGTTGAATTGTTAACTCTGCCTTTAAAATTAGACAAAAACATTTGCAGATAACGATTACCTAGTCCTTAGAAACAGACAAAAAGTTAGACAAAAATGAACTCAAATCGAAAGTGAATTTGTATTGCGTTTTTTGTTGCCATTTGAACGGTGTTACCACATTTGTTTTTTTTATTTCCATTTGTAATCACTCACACCCAGCAACCCAGTGACCGGCTGGTATATTGAATGAGGAATGGACTAATGTCTTACCCCGGCGATAAAAACGACATTTTGGGAAAGAACTTATTAAGCTTTGTCAAGTTTGGCTGGAAATTGTTGCAAATTTCGGGAAATATAGCCGTACGAAGTTTGTATACTTTTGTATTAAGGCAGAAAGTGTGCAACCAATTTAGTTACACATCTCCGCACGTAATACAATGGTATACAAAATATGCCATCTTCGCATTGCTATGTTTTCCGTATTTTACAAAATTTCGCAGCCAAACCTTGCATTTGTACTAATTTGAGACCTTTCTGACTGTGACGATTTATTAGTCTTGTTACGCAAGGCTTTATTGTGTTTAGAGATATGCATATAAAAATAGCTGTAAAAATAGGAATATCAATAGCATGACAGGGATTAGTGAATGATTTTTGCCACAAGACGCCTGAGTAAATATAATTTTCGGCCATTAGCAAACATTAATCGCCTTTCCCTTTCATGTATGACATATCGTGGGATTAAATAAGTAATAAGGTGAAAATATTTATAATCCTCTCAGAACTAATACCTGGATAAACAGTCTTAAGTCTTCACTTATCTTAATGGTCGCATTCTTTAAAAAAGTGTGCGTGCTGTAGGCCATTCAAGTTCTTATGTCAATCAATTGTGTTAAAAATGTTGCTCGGTCAAGCATGTAATAGATTACGTCATCAAAAGTTCAATTCGATAAAATAAGAGTGAAAATAGTTTAAGTTAAAAGATATTGTTCACAGACGTATTGTTGGTATATTTTACTAGTTGTTGATGATGAACATTTTAAGTTGTGAACATTTTTAAGTATTGATCGATTGAGCAGAAGACCAACTCGACTAGTGCGACAACGCCTTAAACAAACAAGATATGAGAGCTGGAACGAGCTTCTAAGACCAACCCACATTTCTAACTTACAACGCTGATTGGTTGGATAAGGATCAGCCCACTCTGGTTGATGACGTCTGCAAGTTTCCCTCAACCGTTACTATAAAAGGGCGTGCACAACACCCCAACCTTCAGTGGACTAGCGGAGTAAAAAGCATGTGAAACGTTAAGAAGCTCAACCTGACGGAACAGACGACCAAAGACAAGAACTCAAAAAACGACGAAGATCAGAAGATCAAGTGGAGAGTAGAGAATCCAGTAAAGAAACTGAACATTAATGAACATTAGTTAACCTACTGTAAAAGATCTCCTACCTCGCGTAAATAGAAAATAAAAGCTACTTAACAGTCTTCTTGTTACTTCGATCAAAAATCAGTCTAAAGCGCAAGTCGTCCATCTAAATATAGCTCAGTGGTCCCACATATATATTATATAGATATAATTGAAATAAAAATTAGTTCCGCCAATTCTAAACTCTAAAACTGAAAAAAATTAAATTTTGACATACGGCGCACTACTTCTAATTCTAATCAATGAAAAATTCCAATTCACTGAAGCACTGATAGTGCCTGACAAATATTAAGTTGTTGCCAGATATAACGTTTCAAAATCATGACTTTATTGAATCAGTTTCTACAAGTGTAGATACCTAAGAATGTTCCAAGACTACATGTATTTGTATTGTGCATAATTATTGTGTGCATATATCTCGTTGTGTTAACTATTTTCACTTCCTGGAAATAAGACAGTTTCCGTTTATTTTTTTGGTGTACAATCACCTATAAAAACAACAGATATCATCTTAGTTATTGATGATATTATTCATCGTAACGCATGGGGGCGTTGAGGGAGCCCAAGGCTCGTAAATTTGCCTTTCTTATCAATACAATCGCTGTTTATCTATTACGGCGAATGTTGCAGTACTTTTGATTTTTTTGGAACTCATGGTGTATTGACACTCGCGGTGGCCTGGAGCTAGAGGACATGTGGTGTGAAAAACGAAAGGATGTTTTAGAGTTTGTCGAAGCGTGAAGTGTAATGTAGCTTGTTAAGTTACGTTAAATACATTGAAAGGTTGCATTTTTTATACATTCAAGTTGTACATTAAAATGGAACACCTGTAGGATTACAGGGGTGTTTAATTGTGTCATTACATGAACCGATTTGCAACGTCCCAACGGGAATGGCTGTTCGAATTCGATTTAGGAGTTAACACGGAAGAAATGATGGATAAAATCTATAGTTTATGAAATGAAACACACTGAGATTACATCTTCTTACCAACGTTATCTTCACAGTTCTTGCCTGCCCATCCTTTAGCACAAGAGCACAGGTAACCCCCACGGTAATCCAAACATGTACCACCGTTACGGCAGGGTCTTGTCTCACATGGCCACTCTATTAAAATGGAATATTTTGTTAACATAAAGGATGAAATAGGTTCCCTGATTACGAACGGTAATTATGTAACATCTGCATCAGTTACATCTTCAATAACCAATGAATGAGCTGTGGTGGCAGTAGGACTGGTATTTATAATAACAATTATTTATTAATCCATCTTTAGTTAAAATGTAGTATGGATTTACAACAGTCAGAACAAAATAACATATATAATTTTCATCAAGTACTTGATCAGTTATAGTTAGGAATTTAAAGTTTGATTACAGTATGTATATACTACAAACTTTGCTAAACTATATAAGCTTGTAAACAGAGGATAAACGGCTGTTACTGAAACCCAGCCCACGATTTATTGTAATGATCTGAATGATACACGGGCTACGATATTTCAAGATGTCCTCGGAAAGACGTAGTGACAATTTTACACATGACCATTAGCCAACCAGGAAATGTAATTATATCCCCCACCTGACCCCTCATAGCTACATTTTTAAGTTTAAAGTACGTTTTGTAGTAAAATTTTTACAAAGAGAGCACGAACCTTTTAAACAGCCGGCAAAACCAACCCTCATTGATATGTGCCTATACCAAGTCTTCGGATGGATGCGGATGTATTGAGCAACAATAACAGGAGAGACGCTTTGGCGAACAATTGTGTTTCTATTATTATTTCCCCCGAAAACCTTGGTAAAAAGATATATTATAATGAGTAAAAATTGGTATCTGGATGCAGTTGCCTTTACGCGTACATTACCTTGGCACAGTAAGAGTGGAACTAATTTATTACTAGCAGAGGGGAAGGGGAGAGGGAGGAAACCAGGGCTACCGCTAATGGGGGGGGGGCATTTAGCTATATTTTCGTAGCGCGTCATCTATTGATTTTGTCGGAAGGCTGATGTATTCATCGTGTATCTAGACTGAAAACATGTACCGCCTCCTTTTGATCTGTGTTCTAACGAGAACAAAAATGGTAAGAAAGTAACAGGTGAAAATTGCTTCAAATTAGTGACGTTATAGGAAACGTTTCATATCATATATTTTTTCATTTTTTTATTAATATTCATTCATTAGAGATAAAACTAGCAAAATTAAACGATTTAGCGATGCTTTGAAACGATTGAGTTTCTTTTGCATGGCCAGCATAAATATTCAGGACAAAAACTATGGTAAATAAATTTACCTTCACAAGACCATTTACGCGATATGTGAAGAAATTCAGGCCGTCCTTGCTGTAAGACACTGAATAGCTCTTCACCCACTGGTTTGCATTGCTGCGCCCTTGGGTAAGAATCTCAGTCACAGTGGCCTGAAGACCGAAGTTCACCTGAATCCATTGTTGGCCATTATTATACCTTGATGACCAAGCGCCTTGCCGGCGTCCCTGAGCCTTGAAGTTCAATCTGCCGTTCACTACCCCGTGGTTTGCGTCCCATTCTGACGAAGCTGATAATTGGGAGTCTAATACTTCGCCATTTTCGACACCAAGACGTACAGCATTCTTGCATTCTGATAGAAAAAGGTTAAACATAAGCGGCTTACTAAATATTCAGTATGCATCTGAAAGCAACAAATTTTATAAAATTACTGCAATTATTGTTGATATTTTCCTTATTGATTTACAATAATATTCAAATTATTACATTTCTTATTTTGAGACTGCTCAAGATATTGCAGCAGATTTGGGCACCTCTAGAAACGGGCTTTACGTTCTATTAAATCGATATTTGCTCCCAATACGAATCGGATGTTCCAATACGCTATAGTAAGTATCTAAGAATTACTATAATATTATACATCTTGGTACCTTTTTGTTCACATCTATTCCCGTAATACCCGGCAAGACACGAGCACACAACTTTTCCGCCAACGTTGTCACAATTTCCCTCATGAAGGCATGGTTCTGCTGCACATGGTTGGCCTGGAAAATAGCACGTGTTCAATATATATAATATGTGCAAGTTGTTTCTAAACCAATCGGAAGATTCCTTGGGCATTAAAACGGTTTATCTATTTTTTGGAACATACGGAATTTTATTATACACAGAATAACATCTAGGTATTTTAGTTGATTAAAAATTAGATGTATCAAAACACTATAAAGCAAAGTACTGTGAATTGTTGGTGATTAGGTCTAATCTAGAATATGAAGCTCCTATAGGTCGCATTGAGGCTTTTTACATCCAGGCATTTAGTATGTTTTGTTACAATTGCCTTTTTTAGCTTGAAGCGTTTGTAGGACTAATTGGATAAAAAAAATTATACCTTCAAAGCATCCGTTGAATTCAACTCGCATGGAAATATGACCCTGCCATGTTTTAGGATGGATTCGGATGAAACGAGCCACGATAACAGGGTGGAGAGTGTTTTTCACGATGCTTTTAAGGTTAACGTTCGCTACGAATACCTAGAATATACAGAATTGTAGAAGAAAATCAGTGCATTTCGTATAAAATTTCATTTAAAGAGATCATCTCAACCATTCCAACCAATTATCCTCTCACAATTGTGACAGATAATGGCGCACGAGGCCTTAATTTACTCACTTCTGAGGAAAATAGTGTATCTGGAATATTTACAGTGGAGTACCAATGTCTTTCCAACTGGGGTGTTGGACATGTCGCCCAGGATTTACCGATCAATTCCACTATCTCTATTTCACTATTCCACAAATTCTCACAATTATACATGTGAAGGGATATGATGAAAGTGGGGTAAAACTTGTTGTTTGTAGAAGTCGCGATACATGGATAAATTAACTTAAATGTGCTACGGTGGTCACCTTTTTTATCTACGGGCGGTCGACCATTGTTCCCGTACTATGAATTCGAAAATTACCAACTACCTTTGTTTTAAAACTGACAACTTCGTATTAATTTACATACCCCTCTCCCACGCTCAGCACGCCCCTGGCAATATATTCAAAATAATTGTACCTTATCATGACCGCTTCTTTGGTAGGGTTTGAAATTATGACCATCATCAGAGTATGAAACAGTGTAGCTTCGTACCCATTGGTTGTGCCTGCCACGGCCTTGAGTCAAAATATCGGTAATTGTAGCACGGAATTTGAAATCAACCTGCAGCCATTGGTTTTGGTTATTATATCTTGACGACCATGATCCAGAATTCTTAGCGAAATTTAACCGCGCATTGGTTGCGCCGTGGTTGGAATCCCATTCCGAAGATGCAGTTATTCGTGAATCTGGGATCTTTCCACTTTCCATTCCTAATGCTTTAGGATTCGTGCAAGCTAAAATGGCAATAAATTTTGAATTCCCAGGACTATGAAAATTGAAGGCGCCGATATCAGTCCTGGTTCCCCAACTGTGAAGGGTATAAAGCATGTTGGGGCATAAAGAATTCCTTTCGGTAACTTAAATATACATTACCAGATTGATTGCGAAGGGATGGACTTTGACGAGCAAAAACTGGAAAGAGCTTAGCAGACACATGTGTTTGTGTCGTAGTTTGTTGACAAAACGCGATACTAAGTAAAGCTGAATTTTTATGCCTGCAAGTTCTTTAGATACTACAATTTGTTTCCCGTTCTTTAACAAAAAATTTAGCGCATTGGGTTGACTGATCACATTTTTGTATTTTTGTAGTTTTCTCTGGGCGTTGTTTCTCCAAAAGTTTGCATACTTACTTCGTGTTTCACATTGATTTCCACTGTACCCTGCAGCGCAAGCGCAGCTGTAGTCTTTGCCTTTGTTTGTACAGATAGCGCCATTTCTGCATGGACCTGATGCACATGGAGCATCTTTGAAAGGGGAGAAATTGCAGCAATTAAAAAAAAGACAAGGAGTATTGTTCATGCATGCAGCGAAACTTGGAAGCTTGGAGTATATTGCCCATAAATAGGGGATGCTAATGCATGTTTACGATAGATAATTACACAGTCTCTGTGAGTGCGACATGGAAGTTTCTGTTCAACAAGGGGAGAAAATTTCGGACAATATTTTTATTCTGTACGCTATACTTGTGCTCTTTTTCCCTTTTCGGACGGCAAAAGATGCATTTGATTATTTTGGTGTGAAATATTCTTAAAATAACACTCTATACAATAATAGAGTAATCATCTTTTTGAGAGGCATTTAATTGTCAACCTCAATATGTTTATAGTATTACAGCAACAAAGCTACTTACTGCACTCTGCAAATTGAGGAAGATTTTTCCAGGAAATAGGAACTCCAGCTAGGGAACACGATGTTGCATAGGCAGCAAATTCTTCACACAGACATGAGGATGGATGATTATTACAAGCACAAACATCAAATTCGCAATCTTTGATAAAGCCCGCATCCTGATGCACTGCATTGTGGCACTTTGCAAATGGCTGCTGTTTCAGTAACTGGCATTTCTTCTTTGCCTGCTGAGCGACATTGCTTGCAGTAGGACAAGGGTTGGGTGATGGTTTTGAATTTGGACAGCTTCGGTCCACTTTCCACGAATCAGCGAAATGAAGGATGCTGGCGCTACGCCGGAAGTTCACGTCTATGAACTCATCGTTGGCATTACCATTGTAGTTCCCGCAAAGACCAGCTGTCTTTCCCTTGTATCGTGCAGACACCGTGACAAAAACATTATAAACTCCGTCATAACGTACTGAGACGCCAATATCAGATTGGATTTTTATAGTTCTTAGGCCTTCCTTCGTTATTATCACACCTATATATAAGCAGAAGATAAAGTTACAACAAACATGTTAAATTTGAGCTGATGAGGCCCCGTCCACACGTATCTTAGTTTTAATAGTCTGATCATATTTGCGTTTCAATTAATTTGATCGTCTGAAATAGCACCGTTCTTTAATATGCGGCACTTTAAAAATAATAATGGCAGTTTGATATCGATATTCCTTGCCTAAAAGTTAGTAAGAAGGCAATGCTCAAAATAAGCATATAAAAATTAATTTCCTTTAAGGAAAATCTACTTTTTGGTTTTAATGGCGGAACTTTAAATCTCCTGCTTCTATGCATAAATTGACATGTAACAGGTTTCAAGACTATATATTCATGCATGCATGTGCTCAGTGCATGCATGCAATTGTCCAATAATTTGTCGAGGGACGCATATTCCTACCTTGATTTCTGTAGGGTGCGTTTTTACGAATACCAAACACTGTAAAATGACCTCCTCTTGTTATTTTAATCTTCAACCCCTTTATTGTTACACTGACGGATAAAACACAGCTGAAACGATGGCCGTTGCAGCGCTCGTTCTTGGTTAAGACAAGGAAATTGTTGTTCACGTCCTTTGAAAGCACATATTCACAGACTCCCATAAAGTCGTATCGTCTACCATCGAATGTGAGGTAATGAGGATCTCCTGTAGCACTACATTTTGCTGTTTCTATACAATATATTTAAATAAAGTCATCAACTGTATTCATTATTAATCAAGACTATATGTTATTCGCTTTTATGACAATTGATGGTTCTTACCTTCAGTTTCACAACGAGAACCTTTGAATCCGGCTGGGCAGGTACATCGATAAGATTGACCAGCGTTAGTACAGGTACCACCATTCAAACAAGGAGCGTAAGCGCAAGGAGTCTCTGCAAAAAATGAATTATATGTCAGCAAAAAGTCTACGAAATACGTTTTGATGCACATTTCGGTGAACAATTAGCATGATTTGAAATTAAGGTGATTTCATGACTTGTGGGGCAAGAGCGTAACTGAACGGTCGATTTTGGTAAGTATTCATGTGATCTTTTCCTGCATCCAAATTGTGGCACTTGTGCCTTTCTACTTCCTATATTAAGATAAAAATATCACAAAACCAAGGAAACGCCTAAGTTTCTGGTATATATACATAGTTTAAGAACAGATTTGGAAGAAAAAGACTTACGGCATTCACGGAACTGCGTCAAGTGCCTCCACTTGATATTTACACCAGCCAATGCGCAGGTGTCAACGTAAGCTGCATATTCTTCGCACAAACACGAGAGAGGATGTCCCTTACAAGCACAGACATCATATTCACAATCCTGGATAAATCCTGAGTCCACCTTTATAAGATTGTTACAAGGTGAGAACGGAAGTCCTCTCATCACGGCACATTTCTTCTTGGCTTCTTGAGCTGTAGCACCGGCGTTTTGACACGGATTCCCGACAGGTCCGCCATCACGACAGTTTTGGTCGACTTTCCAAGATATTCCAAAATCTTGCGCGTTCGTGGTTATCTGGTTGTTAGGTTTTTTAAAGTCGTCGTTTTTGTTTCCGTTGAATGTTCCACACAGTCCAAGCGTTTTCCCTTTGTATCGACCAAACACTGTGACAAAGACATTGTACACTCCATCAAATTGTACGTTTAATCCAATATCTGTTGTTACTCTGACAGTTTTTAGACCGTGTTTTACAATCTTCACACCTAAAAGAGCAAAATGCAGCATTTCAGTAATCTTTCTCCTGCTAATAAATTTAGTTTTGTGTACTTTGTTCATGTTCACCTTGATTATTGTAAGGCAAATTCGTATGTTTTCCAGATATTTGAACCAGTCCTCCGCGAAGTAGTTTAATTTCCAATCCTTTCACTTTAACAGTTACACTGAATGTACACGTTACTTTTTGAGACAAGCTACCGCATGGTTTGTTCTTTGCCAACACAACAAACTTGTTTTCTGTATCTTTGGCCAATACATATTCACATTGTCCCATGAAATTATATGTCTTTCCATCAAAAGTTCTGTAATGCGGGTCACCCGTGGCACTGCATGTTGCCTGAACTAAAATAGGACGTACTTCGTTTTGTAATGTTACGTTAAAAATTCTCTGATGCAGAAACTTATTTTTTCTTTAAGCGCTATGTTATAATAATGTATGCATGATGTATGTGTTGAATTATATAAAATGATGCGTGGCGAGTAGGTAGTAAGTATACTACCTATTAGTTCATTATATTATTGTTGAGCTCGGGCAAGTGACGCGTCATTGTTGTTGCTAGTAATCCTAAATAAAATTACGCCTCTAGTACTGCGGTGTAAGTTCTCTCTTGAATCGATGTACTTTCTCTTTAGTTCTCTTTAAGCATTGCATTTATTTAAATATAAACTAATTTGACAAATAGAGAATACGAATACCTTCTGTTTGGCAGCGGTCACCGTGGTAATCTTCAGGACATGTACATTTAAAACTGCTTCCATGATTATTGCAAACACCACCATTCAAACACGGAGCGGAGGCACATGCCGAGCCTGGATACAAATGATAATTTTGTTGGTTTCAGATGTCAAATAATTATGATGCATGCATAAATTACTAAAAATGAAACTGTTCTCGTCATGCTTGCAAGCAGGACCGAAACGGTTCGGGTAGATATTCATATTATTATTTTGTTCTGAAAACGCATAATTATACGTAGAGGAGAAATTAAATATGTCACCAACTCGGATATATAAGATAATTATGCACCCCCTCTCCCCCGCCTATTATCGCATCTAGTTTCGGCTTTGATCAGTTCGAAATAAACACGCTGATTGAAACTACCTTGAAATTATTTTTTTTTAGTTATACGTAATAATTGATGTATAATCTGGTGAATATGAAATATAGTAACATTAAAACTATACCGAAGAGCAAGGGTTTTTACGTGTAAAAAACCCTACGTGTAAATTCGCATTATTTTACTGATATTTTGCACGACTATTAAGAATAAAATTTATATGTTTAAGCACATGATCTTATCAGACTGTTTGCAACTATATTCGATTCAAAACTCATCGTGGCTACCAAGGGACGTGACAAGAACGTTAATTGCCTGGTTAATATTCATATATATTCAGTTCTGCACGACGGATTTCTTTTGGAAGTGGAATAGCTTAGGATACAAATCCGCCGGGCAGAACTGAAAATATGAATATTCACCCCACGCCTCCAATTATCGTTTTAGTTACGTTCCTGTAACTACCTTAGCTTGTGCCAACTCCTCTTTGATTGGAATAGCCAAATAATATAATTATCAATTATATCTAACATACACCTGCCATTACATGAACTTACCACAATGACGGAATTGTGCAAGATGTTTCCACTGGATGTTGACTCCGGCATAACCACAAGTGGTAACGTAAGCAGAGTATTCTTCACATACGCACGCCAAAGGATTGGTTTTGCAAGCACAAACATCAAACTCGCAATCCTGGATGAAACCTGAGTTAACGTTCACATGGTTGTGGCAAGCCGAGAAAGGAGCTTGTTTCAGTAAAGCACATTTCGTCTTTGCTACATGGGCTTGAGCGCCAGCCGTCGTGCAAGGATTTATGGGTGGACGCGAATCAGGGCATGATTTGTCAATTTTCCAGGAGTTTGCAAACTCTTGATCATTTCCAGTCACTCGGTTGTCAGATTTGAGGAGATCGTTCGGGTTGCCATTAAAGTTTCCGCAAATTCCGCGTGTTTTCCCACGATATTTTGCAGCAACTGTGATATAAACGTTATAGACGCAATCGTAATTCACCGTTAAACCAACATCTGTCGTCACTAGGACCTTATTTCCAACTCTCTTGATGTTCACACCTGAAGATAGAACTTACATTATGTTCGCCCAAACCCATTATATCACTTGGGACCAGCTTAAAAAGTTTGTGAATCATAAAAACGTCAATTCCATTTCAACCCGAAACTGGATTATAAAAAAGCTTCTTTAACTGTGCTATTTAAATTGAGACATGGAAAAGAAACTAAATTTTTTCAATTAATTTGATTTGATAGAACAAACCTGGATCATCGATCCAAGAAAGCCGCATACAGTTCATTTCATTTTTGCCAAGATGTGATTAGAGTGATTAGTTTAGGGATACAGATATTTAAAATTGTTTTTCTGCAGTCAATGTTCGTTTATTTTTTAAAGGTGTTAATCCTCTTTTTCATCCTCAATAGGAGCATTGAAACCCGTTTATTTTGTCTTTTATTGCGTCTAATTTTTGATCCCTAAACCTAGCACTTTTCTTTATGAAAACTAGATGAATTCAGGAATGGCTACTCTTAATAAAAATACGGTTGATACGGTTTATTATACTTATTATAATTTATTATAATTATTACCTTGATTGGAGTATGGTAATCTTTTGACCACTCCGAAGACAGTAACGGTTCCACCGCGTTTGATAACGATAACAAGATTTTTCACTTTCACTGTGACCTCATTTGTGCATGAAACCTTATTTCCACACTTCCTGTTCTTGCCAAGCACCGAAAATTGGTTGTTCACATCTTTTGCCAAGACATATTGGCATTCGCCTTGGAAGTGGATAAGTCTTCCATCAAAGGTTCGATAGTGTGGGTCACCTGTTGCACTGCATGTGGCTGAATTCGAACCAGCTGCAATTTAAAATGGTATTTTCATTGAAGACATTACTATAGATGTTTGAATCGTTTCGATCTGGCACCAACCCTCGTCTGTTGGAGTAACTCATAAAAAGGTATTTTAAAGATCTTTAATTGCTTTAAATGCAGAAGTACTAGCAATTTAATTTTGTAATTTTACGAAGCAGGCTCTAAATCTTCCTCTCGCTCTTACGAGATGTGTTATTGATCCGTGAAGTTGGATTGAATATCTGCCGATTTTCATGTCTTATAATCATGGTGACAAAATGATGAGACCGAGAGGTGATCCGCCCTTTTTCTGTTTGGCTATAGATACTCACGTCGAAGCATTTAAAATCTTAGTTAGCATTTAAAAAACTGTAATTCCTGATTAAACTAATATACGGGTAATTTTTCATTAATTTAAGACATACAAAATGTGTTTTTATCCATGCAATCTGAAGTATGCGGCAATCTTTGAAGCTGAACTCTCTTTCAGTGCTCGCCCAGCCCCTTTCCATCGTCCATTCAGGAACTTGATATTGCTAACATTTTTACCTTAACGTCTGCATAAACGGTAAGCCCAAGAACAAACAAAATCGCAAAAAGCACCTGGTCTTCTCTAAACGTGTTTAATTTTATTGTGGTTTTATTGTGCATGCACTGAAATAGACCACTGAAATATATCCTGAAAGAGTGTAGTGATCTATATACCTACGTTGAATGAAGTCTTATAAAGTTAAATAATGTTTTTCGAAGTTATGTATTTTTAAGCTGGCAAGTATCACTCACTATGTAAAACGAATGAAAACCTAGGCACTTCAGCACTCCTAAGCGAAAAGAGACAGCTGCGCGCACCCGGTTTGAACTTTTCAACGTCAGCGTTTTAATGCGCATGCAGTTATCTATAGCGTGTGTATGATAAGTCTACTTATTTCACCTACCGGTCTGCTGCATTTGACAGCATTTGAAATATTCAATACAATACATGTAGTTACAAGTAGATCTGTAAAGACCCGTGATGTAGTGACCGGCTCTTGTGCACGACACCATGCCCTTACGATTCCAGTCAAATTTCGTCACAACATTTTCATTGTAGCATGATTTGTAAGAATTCGGGGCTCCACGAGGTTTGCAGCACCACGCATGCTCAATATTGTGTAGGTTATGGCCATGTGAGCGATAAAGTCCGGAGAGGTAATATCCTGTTGGGCATAGGTTCCAAGTACGCTGTCTGTGTACATATAGTGTAGTAAAATAAAATTGTATAGAAATTTAGAAAAAGAATGCGTGGAGACACTGACAAAGACAATTTCCAAGTCGTTTTATGCAGAGTTTATGCAGTCGGAAGTTTTTTGTAAAAGCAAATTGACATTGATTTATACAGAGGCATTAAACAGAATGTTGCTGTCCTTGCCGGTTACACGCGGCAATCTGATCTAAAACTCCAGACGAACGAAGACGAGTGATCACGAATGCAACACGAGCAAACAAAAGTGAACACAAGTAAAATAAATTAAATATTTAATCACTGTTTTCGTTTGTCTTTGCTCGAACACGCTCCTGTGGAGTTTTGGATGAGATCGCTACACGGCGTCTTATGCATGGAAAGGAAAATTAAAATGTTAATATACCTGTCAAAACTGCGCGCCCAATTGGCTTGTACACATTGAGCATTTGGTTTACCACCATCACAACAACTCGCTTCTTCAAGGAGGTATATCCAATCATGGTTAGGTCTCGACGCTTTATTCCTGTACAAACCACGTATATAAGGCAATGTGGAAGGACATTTGGACCAACCAGTTCGGTCAAAACTTGACCACCAATTCGCATTTCGACAGGAGCCGGCAGCTATAAATAATTTCATATTGAATTATATTAGAGTTCGGTAAATCTTCTGTGTGATCGTGATGAAGCACGCTGGTCCAAATTAGCTAAATTTCTCCCACTCGTGCGGGCTCTGTGGACAACATTGTCAGCAGACAATTAACATAAAACTGAGAGTAGTGCATAAAACGAAAAGCTTATAATTTGTGATGCGAAAACCACTGGAAGACGGAGTCCTCTGTACTGGAAGAAAATTGCCGACCATGACAAACGGGAAAAACACCACAACGTTTTACTAACATTATCCTCTCCTAATCAATGACACACTCTCTACTAAAAATTTTTTGTCTTCATTGCTATATATATTACACATGCACGCACCAAAATTACTCCTTACAAAGTTCTTCCACTTGTGTAGGCATTATTGTCTGCGTATAATTGGAATCATTGAGTGATTGTAATATAATTGGAATCATTTACGGGTTTAACGGCGAAGTTTCTTCTGTGTTGAGGATGAAATCCGTTAACCTACTCTAGTCACGAGCTCAAAACGGGGTAGAAGAGATGAAAACTTTTACTCTTATCTGATCCCCGGTGAAATCCAAAACATAAGATAATAATATTCCATAAAAGCTTAAAACCAGGCTCTCAGTCCACTGAATTATTTTATGCCAGTGAAAATATTTCAAGCTTTTGAAGAGGAAAATTTGATACCATTTAAAAAATAAGTACATGCAGTTGCCAAATTTGCATCTCTCAAAAGAAGAATTGTATAGCAAGTTCCATGAAAAATTGCACCTTTGTCAAAGTCATTGCACAATTGTCTAAGAAGGCCATAATTGTGTATTCAGGAGTTACCTCTCTGCAGTAAAAATTTTATGCTAATGTTCTTTTACCTGCCTAGTTTAGAAACTTGAGAATTACACACGAAGATGGAAATATAAGTTTCAGTTGCGTTTGAAATATCCTCTGGTTCTACCCTAAAGCTATTGGTATTCCAGTTTCGCAAATTATAGACATCACTTTGTCCAATAACTGTAATAATTATAGCGAGTTGTCATTTGAAATTGCACTTACGCAACGTAGTGAAAGCATGGGTGAATATGGCATTCACGCTTAATGTATTTTCCCTTTTTTTCTTTTTGACTTTCTCAATTGCAGCTTTATCTGAGTTCACATCGGCTGTCATGATTAGTAATTGAATTCAAAACATCATGTTAAAGGATATCTTATGCAACTTTTGTCTCTGAGTTTTCGACAGATACTGACAAAAACGGGAACCGTCCTCCCAGTTTATATAATTAGCTATAGTGATTATATTCTCACCTAGCCGAGATTTAACAAAACTTGAGATGACTTTGAGGTATCGGATGAAGCATATGTGCTGTTACACAGTTACACTATGCAACTTCCAACTTGCAATGCAATTCTACCGAGGGTCTTAATTCTACTTTACCAAATCGCAATGGAATTATATTGTAATGCAAATGTACCAAATCTAAAGCTGACGAATGCGAATATTTCTTATGATCGATAACGTTTTCTGAGCATTTGGAACACTCTTTACAAATTAATATCGCTCAAAACTATAATGGCATTGCAAATTGCAAGGAAGGTTGCATAGTGTAATACCGCTTATACGTCTAACATGATTCCGGTTAGTCTGCATGGCAGGCGGTCCCTGAAATTGGGCAAGGCGACAACGGCGAAAAACCGCGCCTGCCGGGTTTAGCTATGTAATTTAGAATCCCTACCCACTGGTGGACGGGAATTGATGATTGTCTGCGAGTCGAATCAGCTGTCAATCATGGGCAAATATTTTTAATTTGTGACATTCAAATTTGTTGGCGTCTGGTCTGGGCGAAATTTACTCACCATTGCGTTCGCTCCGCTCTTCTCAAACAAAATGATTTTCGAAAGTCGAAACGCGAACTGATTCATAAACGCGAGCAAGAGATGGTGTTAAAGATTTATCCCTTGGAAAACAATCATATTTTAGCCGTTTTACATACGATAGTTACGTGCAAGAAAATATTGCCAAATATAAATATAAAAGATGAGCGTAGGTGCGCTCTAGTTATTTTATCTTCACGCTGTATTACTGTACAGGAGATCATGCAAATGGCCGAAATGCTTTCGATGAAACGTCTCACAAGTTGCCAAGTCTCTACTGCGAAATATTTATACGATCGCAGATAGTTCATACCTATTTACATTGCCGGAGAATTTATTGAGACTTTACCCGATAGGGTAAAACGCGGATATGACTTTTAAAATTTGTTTTATTGAAAAGTAAGTTATCCGTCCGTCCGTCCGTCCATCCGTCCGTAATATTTACTGTTTGTGGATTGGCAAATTACGCTGGAACTGAAAAGGGGCGGTTCACAAAAACCATAGGCAAACCGGCAGGTGGTCTTCATCGTTGTCGCCTTGCCCGATTTTAAGGACTGCATTGCAAGCTAGATTCTGGTAGTCATGTAGTCATTCCAACAATAGAATGTGTTTGTTATTTTTCATAAAGACTTTAGTCCCCGAGTGGGCGCGGAGCGCCTGCGAGGATTCTAATTCCGCTCGGAGATTAGGAATTACACCCGGAGCCCGGGAGAACATAGCCGAATCCAAAGTTGTCCAAATTAACTCTATGCCATGGACAATATAGGAAATTGTGTACTTGGTTTGAAATAGCAAGTCGTTGCTGCATGCATGTGTTTGCCAGTACTTTAAAATAACTAAAAGGCCTTGTTACACGGTGCAATTTTTCTCCCAACTTGCAATGTAATTCTTCTTTTGAGAGATGTAAATTTGGCAGCTATCGCACTTTTGTCTTTAGGTCAGAAACATTTAATTCGCTTGTTTAATAAAACGATAGACTTGCTTTCTTTTTGAACATATCTGCCGTTTAAGGTAAACGGGCTTCATACAACCGGTCAAAGTTTGTAAGGCAAACCGTTAAACGGTGCAATTTTTCTGGCAACTGCCATAGTTGCTATGGCAATTCTGGTGAAGAGTTTTTAAAACACCTTGACCGCCAAAGACGGAGATTTTCGTTTTTGATCGATTATCACTTATCGATCTGTCTAGACCACTGGCAGTAAAAGTGTTAAAATGAAAGTTGAAGAAACGCCATGGAGTGTAATAAATACAAATATACCCTTTACAACTACATAATATTCAGCGCAATATATTCAAGTTGACTTATTCAAGAGAGTTATAAGAGTTATTGACTTATCCACCGTTTTTAAATGTCCATATTAATAATGAACATGTATCAAAAGCCAGACGCGGTTTTATTTTTGAATTTTCGTTAGCATGTATAGGTGTTTTAATAAATTTGTGCATTAAAGGTTTGTCCTTTTGATTAATGATAATCTCCGTACCATATACATGCCTTTTTCTATTTCTATCACTCTGTTTACATTCCACACAGATAGTTAATCGTCTGCATGTTTCTTGTTTGTGCGTGGTCGAAAGTTTAATTCTTATTATATTTGCAGATTTTACCAAACTGACTGCTTATCACGAGAGCCGAGCATAAAAAATATGTCCTAAAGGCCTGACTGAAAAATCTCGCTCACCAATAGCCGAATTTAACAGCATTCCCGTTGTACCCTCCCTTAATTGATTTAAAATCGGAATGCATATTTAATTTTAGTTTATTATGAAGGTTTTGCATTTAATTATGGTCATGTCATATCAACTATTGAATTAACTCCAAATTTTATGGAATAAAAGCAGTTTTCCAATTCGGTTGAATTTCATCGATCGAACGAGAATTTTACAAAGAATTTTTTTTAATATTGTAGCCGGTGAAGAAAATCCGCTACGGTTGAAATCTCACAATCTTAAAAATAATGTCGTTCAAACGAAAAATTCCGCCTAGTGGAAAACCGCCCTAATTTCTACAATATGCATTAAGATGAAGCATGGGATGTAACGTTTGGTTGTATGAAATGACCATTTTGAACACTTATAACAATTTAATTTGTTACACGTGTTTGTAGCTGCATTAGTCATGTAGGCATGCCATAGCTTAATAATGAAAATTATTAATCAAGTGGCAAGTTTGCCTGCACCAAAAACGAACATGCTGCGAAAACATACTGCTTTAAAACCCTAAGGAAAACTAGCTATTTGAGTTCAACTTTCCTTTTTACGTCCTTAACTTCAATACTGTATTAGGAATATACTTTATCGCAACTTGTACATACCGTCAATGAACCGTTCAAAGCGTCCTTAGTAACAGCCGCATGATATTGGTAGAACGTTCAATATACTTATTCAATTAGCACTTGGCCCTGGTCGTTTGTTTTAAAATTACACTCATAAAGGGCAAACTAGCTGGGGGGCATTTTACGATTATGAATTGTAAAAAGCTTACTATATATTGAACGGTTTCGATTTTACCGGACTATCATTACAGCACGCATTGAAGTTAATATTATCTTCTTAATTATTGCAATAATACAAAATGCATGCGTCGCACAATTAACAGGGAATGATTACAGGGAAATCGGGGTCAAAGGACTTGTTGATTAAATCCTGCATGGTTTTCCCTCAAATTGTAGAGTAAATGTTGTAACGTAGTTTGTGTATTGAAATTTTGTTGTGAATAATATACACTTAATGTATGCTCCCAAGGGTAATAGTGAGTTTTGTTTTCCCAAGAGTCTGAATGTTTCCCGAGACGAAGTCGAGTGAAACATTGAGACTCGAGGGAAAACCAAACTCACTAATTCCCGAGGTAGTGTACATTCAGTGTTTCGTTATATAGGAACAAGAACATTTAAAAAAGCCCACTTTACTTTGTTATGACAAGAAGCGGGCAACAATTTTTCACTTGTTTCCCTGGCGGGAAACATTGCATTTATTTAAAGTCATGTGACTACAAATGAACCAATCACATCTAAAATACACAGCACCTATATAACAATAACTAATTGAATACATATTCGAATAAAAATTAATTCGATTCCAGACTATTTCGAATTGGTGAAGAGTACGTTTAAGGACAGCTAACACAGCGGAAGAAAGCGGTTCCTCATAAACGAGAGAGAATAGTATATTTTGCCTGAGCAGCTAAGTACATTTAAAACATTGCGCCAATAATATACAATCACCATCTAAAGAGTCCTTTTGCGATTTCTTGTAATCCTAATTATATTATAGTACTGGGGCTGTATGGACCATTAATTTAGAATTTCGATTCATGGAAAATGCTATGGAAACATTTACCTTAGCTTATAATGATTAAATTGATTGTATATTTTTTTACTTACAGGCTTATACAGCGTATTGGCAAATGGAGGTCTAGAGATCACAAATCATGTGATATGGCTGAGTAATGCTGGTATAATCCCATACGGAGCCGCTTACGAGAAATAATAAAGAATTATTTGAATGTAAGACAGAGTAAAGAATTAATTGCTTAACATGAAATTTTCCGTGTTTACCAAGAAATAATACAAGTCGATGCACGTACCATTATATCAACATGCAAAAAATCATGTGGACATGTTGTTCCGTTTTCCAATATATACAATAATTTATACCGGTCAGAAATCCCATAAATAATTTGTGATGCGTTTCCAATGTGCATTCCCAGCTTGAGGAAGGATGTACGAAAGAAACGTATTACATGGGAAAATACATTTGTTACGTACGAGGTTCTTAAAACACGTTGTCGCCAACGCAGCGTATGCATGAGCGTATGTTGACCACAAGTGGACACACTTTGAAAATTAGCTCGCGGATTTGTTACAAATTGTCTATTCCCGCATGCATGCCAACCTCGTTCCCAGGGAATTTCACCATGATTCTGGGTTAGGGTATATATATATAAAAGGCCATGAGATCGGCCAGTTGCTTCTTTCTTATGATTTGTTGAATGACTTCCCAACGGAGCAAATAAATAGGAGTGCGATAAAGGGGATAGTATATACGTGGTTGCCGGGAACTAATTAACTTCACATATAAATATATAAATATAAATGTATTTTCGTGTTTTATGGAACTTAATAATAATCTTTTTTGAATTTTGTGTCTTTCGATTGTTTCGTGTTAACATGCAAGAGATGGAGCTTATAAAATTTTACATTACACACGTTTTCCGGAAATTCACACACAATTTCGTGATTATACCGCGAATTTCATAGAATTCGGCAGCATGGGCTTAAAATATGGTCAAAGTTTCGATAACGTTTCAATCATGAGAAATGTGCGATAATACTGACACTTACCCGCGTTTTCCTGAACGGCTATGCCTGCCAAGATTACGATGCAGAACAGGAGCTTGAACATCTTCGCTAACTTGTCGCGTCCTTTGGGAAGTTAGAAGAATATCAAAAACTTATAAGAACGCTGTAAACTAATTTGTCACTCGGCTATACAAAGCCTGACAAAGCGTAGGTTGAAACTTGAAAGTAAAGAAAAAATGGGTCAACATGGGAGTGGTGCATGCATGTGTAGAAATAATTATTTATCATTACATTCGACTATAGAAAAAAAACACCGCACGGATATAAAAAGGATTATGAATTCGTACTTGACGTGATAATGGTCTTTGTTCACTAGCCGAAATAATTTACGCAAAAATAAAATTCTTAATAAAAACCTCTAAATTGATCGATTGACAGCTAGGGTTATTAGTTTATAACCCGTCTTAGTGCAAATATTGCTTTGAAGCAAAATATAAATCCAATTCAGTTTTTGTTTTCATTCCGCGCGTTCCTTTTTTGATTTCAAGTAGTTTCGGATCATCCGTGCATTCAAGCCCAAGGGATGATTCAAAGCGAATCTCAATAGTTAGTTAATAATGCATTTTTCATATTACGATGGTCATTTGCATAGCAACGTTTGTAGAAAAATTATATATTTCCTTGGTAATTTTTTATCAATGTAAATATATACTTCGTAATTCAAGCAACGTTAGAAATTATAAAAAACTACACGAAGATACTTTGGGTGTTATTTACACTGCAAGATCTGATGAACGTTCGACTGGTGTTAGATCAATTTCACCATATCCATGCATTAAAAGCTCAATTTATTTGCTGATTTTCCTTATTGGGGATTGGCTACGGCCCAACTGCTTGTTTCCGGACAAGCAATTGCTATAGTTTTGAATTTATCCCAACCAAGTCTAGCGCGTTCACAACATTGCATTTGCGAGCAAATGCACCGGCAACTTTCGGAATGGCCGTCAATGAAGCAGTTCTGAAACCACTGCAGTAATAAGAAGCGAATCCCAAATGGCTGCGCCAACAAAGCGACAGGCATGTCAATTCTCTACGCGATATCATTAATCCTGCATGCCCACTTAAATTTACCCGTGAACTCTGTGCTATTAACTTCCTTACAATTTTTACAGACGCCCGATAGACCGTTTACAAAAAGCTAACGATGGGCTAAGATTCTAAGATATTAATATATTAACAATATTATACGGCTTTTACTTTACAATCATAATAATTTCCCAGCATCTTAAAAGAACCTATAGGAAATCCTACCGCTGTATTACCACCACGCATTACCTTGTAAATTTGGAAACAATGTTGAAACATTGAAAAGAGATTTCGAGGCATATCTATAAGGCCTCATCCAAAAGGGCTAATATGATAAGCCTTCAGGTTTTTTTATGCAAAAGGAATTTAAAACCATGCAAGCAGTGGGGATTAACCACCAGATAAAGCATGTTCATCTATATAATCACATAACGAATTAACGCACTACCTTACGCGCCGGTTAGTCTATAATAAAACAATTACCGTGAGAGAGCAGTAAATAGATTGTCTTTCTTCGCAATTTCTCGCGTATGTTTCAGATTCTCGTCCTTTCGGTGCTCAGGTCCGAGCACAAATGATAATTGCTAATGCTGGGTTATGTTTAAATAGACACGCTTGGTTCCAGTCTAGCTGATTTAACTTAATCTAGAAAAATTACTAATAAGTAAACTGATTAAAAATATTCTAATTTTGTACACAATTTCGTGACATATTGACATTGCGTGGAAATTTGAAAAAAGGTAATTGAATATTTTATGTACTTAAACAATTCCTTCGAAAAACTGCGATTTTGCCGGCACGTTTCCCACACAAGGTTAGATCAAGCATAGCGACACAAAAATGTCGAAGGCAAACTCGGTCAAATTCTTTTGATAGTCGTCATAACAGATATATTACAGAATATTCCAGCTGTGAGTGTTCCTAATTTTATACATATTATTATCTCTAAACGACAACTAATGCAAATACCTAAATGCTTTGGAACAATAATTATAAACTTATCAAGGAATAACTACCATTCTCTTCTGATCATGCACTGGCTATTTTCCTGCTGCCAGGATACGATAGTATATAACAAGGACACTGCAAATGTACACAATAATACGTCTGGTATATAATCCATTTTAGCTCAAATAATTCTTTGCCGTTATGTAATAAAATGACGGCAATCATTAAAGGCAGGCTTTTATGTGTCATAATTTCCCTAATTCCTCGTAATATTTAATTTCCACCGTAGAACGAGAACGAACGAATATTAATGGAATTAATACAAGTGGTGTTTTGAAAACCAAAATCGCGACCTTAAAGGCCCTTTTACCCGAATTTATATGTGATTTTCGTCTTTTGATAGATGTGAACAAATGAATTAGTTGTTGATGTTCAAATAAGAGCTCTTATACATCAGAACATTGGTAACTTATTACTCGTTAACATCTATCGAAAGAAGAAAATCAAACATAAAATCTCAGCATAAATTGCAAGTATAAACGAGCCTATATAACTTGCGATTTTAGTTGCTCGGATTTTGTGTGTGATTTTCTCCTTTTGATAGAATGATGCATGCGAATCAGTTAATAAGTTACGCGCGGATATCCAAATAAGAAAACCCATATATACCACAGAATACCTATCAGAAGGACAATTACACTGTTTTTTGCGTAAGATGCGATAAATTTGTATTTCTGTTCACAGTGATAATTAGCATTTCAAAGCTTTGTTTGACAAATTTTCAAAAGAAAAATGTCCAATTCCCAACGGCGGAAGAATGCAATTTTAACAACTTTTTTGTCGCCCGAATATAGGTTCATTTTTAACAGAATGACGTGTACATGGATTTAATTTGAAAAGCAAGTAAAAAAATTAAAAAAATGGTGTAAAAATCCACCAATTTTGTCACATATATTCTGCGTAAATATACGCCAAACTTGCATTGGAATTTTTTTTATACACGCTGTATATTCATGCATGCATTAATGCATGTGCAATGATTATGGCTCAGTATAGAATTCACTTTATAATATTGGGAAGAATATTAAAAAAAAAAATATCTTTGCAAAGATTCTTCGATGAATGCTGAATGCATAGAAAAAATGGTAAAAAAGTAGGGGGCTATATATATATGGTAATTTGAACAGTTTCAAAGATTTTGGTAGTGCACGTGTCAGCTAAAACGATTTTTTCTCTAATTGGATGTTGTTTGGCTGCTCATTATGTACTCAAATGCTTGTCGCTGTATCCCTTGTAGTGAATGCGAAACAAGTTTCTATCACGATCTGTACTTCGATACTCGTACCTCAATCTCTTATTTACTTTTATCATTTGCGGACTTTTTGCAGCATTTAGACAAAGGCCTAAAAGTGCAGTCACCGTATTGTTTGGCAAAACGTATCGGTTGACGTAAGGTTTAGTTTTGACCATGAGTGCATGTCATATTGCACATCATTCACAGCGTGCGAGGCACTGGACACAAGTTGAGGCAAATGTTCGTGATAGTACACTGGCGGTAAAAAAGAACTGCTCAAATGTTGCTATTATCGTATATAACAGGAATCGTGACAATATATCTTTTATTGTACACTAGCGGTGAAAAAGAACTGTTTAGATACAAATTCATAAAAAAGAAGCGAATATATGAGAGGGCTTCATAGGCATTTTGTATAATTCTTTTATTCCAAACAATATTTCAATAATGTAATGCAACCTGCCACACTTCCAAGATATTGTCAAACAATGGTTTCAGAAAGAGGGAGTGACAGAAATGGATTGGCCTGCACAGTCAAAAGATCTTAAAGCTTTATTGAAAATCTGTGGGACAATGTCAAGGGGATATAGTGCAAGAAAGGAATTCATTCATAAAGCGTCCATGATTTATGCGTTGCTGTAAAGACTGTCCATAGTTTCTTTTGATCACCGTGAAGATTACCACCTTAACAGAAAGTATGCCACGCTGGTGTAAGGCCGTCATCAAGGCCAAAGGAGGGACAACAAAATAATTCTATTAATATTTCATATAGTTTAGCATGTAATCTAGTCTATATTCGCTCGTACATATTGTTAGAGGGACAGTTGAGAGCATTTAACTTGTTTTGAGCAGTTTTTTTACTGCCAGTGTATTACGAAAGTTTGACAGTGCTAAATTTGCCAACTTTCGGCAGAAACCAGAAAGAACTTGTGGTGCACTCAGCGAACGCCTTCGTAATGGCGATCCACATGCATGTGATTATTAACATGCAGGAATGACGGATTTTAACAGTTTAATCACATGCATGCTGAAGAAATTATTAATTCACAGCAGCTATTTATTATGTTATACGGCAAAGCACTATATAGTTGTCATGCAGATACTCACCGTGAAATAAAGATAAACGAATTGCAGCTTTTTAAACCAGTTTAGGTAACTCTGTTTTCTAAGACAAACCTAGCGATCCAAAGACAAATGGTTTAAAATAATTCAAATGATAAATCAAAAAGCTGCAATTGCATAAGATGCATAGGGTTGGATAAAGTGTTAAGATTTTGTGTGTGTTTTTCTGCAAAAAATGTAATTACTTAACAACTTTAACAAGACTTATATCATTTCGGATTTGTGTCATGATGTCAATTATCCTTCCATTGGGCAAGATAATTAGTACTTTCATGGACAAATAGTACTCAAGTTAATGTGGACGAAAACCTTGCTTTAAACTATATACGTTCATGGCACAGATTTTAGGTAAAATTGTTCTGGTTTAACGGTACTCAATTTTCAAGTGTGGGTACTGATGCACAAAGTATTCATGGGAGCTTTAGTTTTTTAGAAGCCGACAAATCTGCATGTCGAGACGCAGGAAGCGCTACACGTACCCGTAAAATTCACACGAATTACGATAATTCTACAACAACTCTTTACCATAGTATATATTATTCGTCGTCACTTTCTGACTACAACCTTAAGGTCCCTAATAACCATTAAAAACTTATACCTACTCGCAAAAGCCATGAAAAGTAAAAGGACCCTTCATATAAAGACTAAATCATAATTATAAAGTTTAACTGCTACCACTACATCGACTACCAAAATTTCCCGGACAAACCGCTTCGCGTTGGACAGCTTTTTCCAACTGCATGTATTGAAAAGAAAGAATAATTATTACGAATGATTATTATCAATTTTACCAACAGTATTATACAGAGGCGTAGGAAAGAACGGAGAGTTCAGAGGGTTGAAATTGAGGCTGGTGTAGTGAACGAACCTATGTTTTATGGCATGTTTAGGTGAGGAGCAGACTCTCTTGGCAGAAGGTTTCAACAAACGTTTTTGTACATCATTGTGCATCAATCAATAATTAGCACATTTAAGGATGTTAATACAATCCATATTGACCGCGACCTCTAAGTAACTTATAGGTAGTAGCAGGGTAGTACGAGTTTTCTAAGGTCAACCCCAATCAATTGCTAATTACCACACAGTTTAGGCCAGTTTTCCACTAGGGATAATTACTTTTATTCTAAAGCTGTCAACAGCAATCATCTGGAACAAATTGCTCAAAAATATCGCTGAAAAATATCGCTATGGAAAACCAGCTGTGCGAAGCTTTCTGCGTCCCAATCTGCACACCGCGATTGCGGTTCGGTGACGGTCGAACGATCAACGATGGTAACCGCAGACGACCGCAAGGGGAAAATACGATCCCGGTTGCGAACGGAGTATTAAAGAGATTTAGCATGAGGACGTGAACGTCAAAGACGACGTGAAAATAACGAGTAAATGGCGTGGCATGTCAATATTTGGGCGCATCACGCCATTTATTCGCTATTTTCACGTCGTCTTTGACGTTCACGTCCTGATGCTAAATCGCCCTATTATGAACAGCTGAGAACGACAACACAATAATCAACTCGAAAACATCCTAAGAAATGCCTGTCACACCGAGTTCGACCGAGGTTCAACATCGCGGGCTCACTGCGGTTCAACCTCGGTCTGACCAAAGTCAATTACTGGTTTTGTTAGTTAATTTCTGGACAGTACTGTAAATGATTGTCGCCTTGAAGCACAAAAAAATACCTCAGCTATTGACGGAAATTAAAAAAGATAATGCGTACAAGTTATATAACCCGGCCGAACCGAGAAAACTTGATCTCTCTCTAAATAAAGGTATATGTAGCTATGTTGTTTCTTTGGTTCCGAAATCCGGAGTAGTTTTTAAGTCCAAATTCTCTTATTGTGAAACTTCAGTAGATTATATAATTTTATGTACATTCCCACCCCAGGTTCTGGTACATATTAGCTTAGTCAAGTGGAAGACAATGAACTTTTTTATATGGAAACAAGGTAAAGTAAATATAATGTCATGTGCCATTTCATGGTGTCAATAATTATCACTCCAGTAGGCAAGATCAATAGTACTTTAATTGAAAAATAACACTCAAGTTACGTTGTGAACGAAAACCTTGCATTAAATTGCGTTTATGACACATATTTCAGGTAAAACAACTCTGGTTTAAACATACTCAATTTTCAAGTGGGGTACTGATGCACGAGTAAGGACCTTAAACATGTGAGAAGGGAATACGTTGACGGAAGTTATCAATATAATCGCCATTGTAAAGAAATGAAGAATTATATTTCGAGTTTCAGACGTCGTCCACATGTATTCTGTTCACAACTGGAAATCTCTGGCTTTCACGTCAGCATCTAAGACGCATCAAGCGCTACATGTACTTGTAAATTTATTCGAATAACAATTTACAACAACTATTTACCATAGCATTATTATATTAATTTTTTAAACAGCGTCTCAGCCGCGTCGTCGTCGCCCCTTGAGGTTCCTAATATTGAGTAAAACCTTTTACCTACTCGTCATCACAACGTGAACACCAAAAGCCATGGAAAGTAAAAGGTTAGCAAACATCAATAGCACTGAATAGTATGAAGAAAGCATCGTAATTATAAAGTTTAACTACTACCGCTGCATCGACTACCAAAATTGCCCCGACAAATCGGTTCGCGTTGGACAGTCTTTTCAAACTGAGTCTATTTCAGTTTCAGTTTTCCACATAAATCATTACAAGAAAGAACTTACCAATCGATTATTATTTATTTTACCTACAGAGGTGTAGGAACGAATTTAAAGTTAGGGGGTTGGAAGCTTTCTACGCTTATGGTAGAGGTAACATACAATTTTAAAAATAAATCGATAAAAATACGAAATAACACAAAATTTGGTGATATCTCATGATAATATATGTTTTCGAGTAAATGACTATAAAATTAGGTATTAGACTCAAGCCTATGACACGCCCACACCACGTCCTACATACCCGTGGAATAAAATAAACCTTCTTGAAAAGACTTCTCAGCGACATATTTTTGTCAACTGGACTAGATTATCTGCTTGTCACATGCTTTCTCAATGTCAGTAAGGGTCTTTTCAAACGATCCATTTTTGTTGGATTCAGTTCCTAAACTTCTGTTCGATGTTTATAGTTTGTTGACCTGAGATAGCTATTAATTTGTATGGGCATCAAACCACTAGAACTTAAACAAGTGTGATAGAGGAATTACATCTGAATATTTGTGTCTTTCACATTTCCTGCGACAACAAAGTTTACAACTACTTTATTAAATAAATCTTACAAAAATATTTACAAAATTGATTTTAGAATGAAACCATTTACATTTACGGCAAGTTACTGAGGTAGGTAGTTTACAATTGATTAATAAATATGGTATGGTAGGTCTAGCTTCATCAACTTAATCTCAATAGTATAAATTATCCTAATTAAATTAAAATCGATAGAAGGAAGAGTTGAAATCACTTGGCGAGGCGAAATATGTTTTTGAAAAAAGCAAACAAACAAAAAAACTATGATCGCGAAGTATAGCCTACGCATAATACGAAAATGATTGTTACGCAATTCCGATAACACGGAGGACAGTCAAGTATATAGATTGTGACGAAGAGGGAAAAATAAGGTGGATATTATCTATTTTACTATCGGTATTATACAGAGGCGTAGGAACGAATTTAAAGTCGGGTTGAAATCGAGGCTAAGTGCACACATAATGTGAAAATAATTGTTATGCGACGGACAGAAAGCATATTAATCATTACCACTGGCAATTTGTGAATGCCTCTTGTCGTTTAAATCTAGTTAGAATAAAATTAAGTAAATATTATTTTGCACTTGCGAATGTGGCGATAATTTTTGCATTAGGGTGATTAGCTACTTAATTAAGTGCTACTTTAAATTGCCAATGTCGGACAAAAACTTGAATGGTGGGCTGTTGTGTTTGACACATGACGTCGAGTGCATGACTTAATTATCGCTTGTTTGTGACCATGTTGTGCGTTTGTGAGAGATTTGTATAAAGTTGCAATGCTAACTAATTTGTGCAGTGATTTGAGCAGTGTCAAAAGATGGAAGACAGAAGTTTTGTACATGCCTTATCATGCGATATTTATCATTTGTTATCCACACACACACCATAATTATGAAAGTATGTGTGTTATATACGACTGTATTAATTATTGCATATCGGTAGTAACACATTCGAATTGTTTAATCTGCAAAAACATTTTTCCTTTATGTTCCGTGTATAACCATAAATTAACATTATAAGATGGTAAATTATATTTTGAATATGTTATGTACTGATTGGTGTAATTATCGATATGTTTTTGCATAGAGCACTTTGTGTGTTGATAAGTTCCACTGCGTGTAGTCTGTATTTAAGAGTCATGCATAATCAGGGCCGTATCGAGAGCATTCAGATTGGGGGAGGGGATTAATAAGTGGTATATCCGAATCTCATAATTAACAATTATTGAATGAGGTTGAACATTATGAAGAATTATCAAGCCGAAGTTTGTAGTTATCAACCGAAGCCGAAAGCTGAGTCGCATAATAATGACTAATAGCTAACTCTAGCTGCGCTGCACGCTTCGTTAGAGTACCTCGTTAGGATGAAATGAGGCTGTTCATTAGCAAGATTGAATAAAAAAATTATGTTATTAAGCCCTATATAGATTTACCTGAACGTAATGACTGTTAGCATTCTCTCTAGATCTGCAATGCACATTCGTTTTCAATATTCTCGTTCACTTTCTAGACGGGTATTTTGTTTGGTTTTATATTTTCCCTAATTTTAATAACTTTCAATTAATAAATTTCAATTTTAATAAATTTCAATTTTAAATTATCAATTTTAAAACCGATTAATCACAAGATCATTTGAATAATTTTTTTTAAAACTATAAAACTACGATTTATATTATTCTTGTTTTGATAATTTATTCTCATGCTTTTCAAAGCCAGTATTTATCCGGCCCGTCTACGCCCTCGATGATGGATCAACGTGCATGTGTTAGATGAATTTTCCTTGCCGATCTAAGCTTAGGAGTTACGAAACATCTCACGAATGCACATCTGCATAGCCTAGATGACCGGCTAAGGTCTGTTACATGGTGGTGCATAATTTTGGATTCTCCTCGACAACATCGTTGGTGCAAACGTTCGAGAGGTATCAACGTTGATTGTTGGAATGTTTATTCATATATTCAGTTCTGTTTGACGGTTTTTTGTGAGCAATTGAATTTACGAAAGAAACCCATCGGGCTGAACTGAATAATGTGAATAAACAGGGGATTATAGTGACTGTTTTTAGTCATGCATAATTCCCTGACTGGGGGAACATTTGCAAGTTGCTTATAGTAATCTCACGTTTAATTGATAACGATCTGTTTTTGCACTATATTGCTAAATACATGAAGTGTTATGGTAATCGCATTAATACAGTTTTAAGTCTATATAATTTTATATGTATGGAATGCTTGTAAAACCACCGTCGCCTGTGTTTTGAAAGCTGACTGACACTCAAACTTGTTGAATGGGATATTTTAATCAAGTCGTAACGATTCTATGACGGTCTTTTCACTTGGATAGGAGCTCGGTTTTCAGTGTTTTACATCAATTAAAACTTCTTAAGAATAATTACGCATGGTGAGCATTTGAAAAGCTAAGATAATTACATTTGTGAACATTACAGCTTTTTACAGGTAAAATCAATTGATGTTATAGGTTATATGTTTTTCAAGCATTGTATTGAATTATAAATAAAGACGTTTTAACGAAAGTTTTGATTGAGGGATAGTTCTATATTCTTGCATGGTTAATTGTTTTTTTTATGTCTATCTCATCTGATTGCTTGGTATATGACGGCTTACTCTCTTATCACCCCAATCCCTTGAGAACAAAATTATGGGCCTAAGTATCTAAAATACATATAGAAAAATCCATTTAATTTTTACGTATACACCAACTTGATTTTCATTATAGGGGATAGCAGGATACGCTTTCCAAATAAATTCCAAAATTATAATGTAGTATAGTAGCTAGTATACATTTAATATAAACACTTTGCATCAAATGTGGTATAGCCACTGCCTGACATGGGCAAAAACACTTCTGGACGTTCCGATACTAACGACTGAGGTATATTGTAAGTAAGCCTGAAAGAGCTGCCGCCCTCCCCCGAACCTGCATTGTTATACTGGGAGGTATAAACGAACAGGTTTGTCCAGTGCACGCTTCTGAAAAGAACTTCTTACTCAGGGCACTTCTTTGCTTATTTGTATTGACTTGACAACACGAGATATTATCATTTAGCCTGCATTTTTCATCAGGTCATGCACGACTTTCCCATTATTATTGTGGCTCGTTACAGTTTTCAAAAATTCCATCGTTCATCACTTTGACACGTTCAAACAACGCATTTTTATGATTTATTCTAGAGATATTGAGGTTTTTATATATTTGAAGTTTTTGCTTTTGAATCATATTAGTTTTAGTAAAAAATCGTCCGTTGCTATGGCGACATACGTGTACAAAATTCACTCCAAAATGGCCGATTGCCTCGGATAGTTGGAAAACAAAAACGGTGACCCCCAATTTTTTTTTCGTGCATTATTTTACTTATAAAAAAATATAAAATATAAAAATTCTATAATGCCAATTTTTTGAAAAATGTAAAAATGATCTGAGAACTAATTACGGTTTTGACGTCATACCGGGCACGTAACGAAATCGACTAGTATCACATTACAGTATACTATTTCACAACACTTTATTCATGCTCCATCAATTTCAGTTATGGGAAAAAACGTTGGTCAGCGTCCTCTCAGCCAGAGTGGAACAGTTTGGCTCAGATGGGAAGTCCGAGTACGACCCCGACGGCTGATAGGCGGGTGTTCAGTGGGTCGTTCTCAAACTCGTGCCAACCTGTGCCACTGAGCAAGAAGGGAGTGGCCTTTGATTCCAGCTTAGTATACTATTTCACAACACTCTGTTCATGCTCAGTCAAATTCAGTCATGGGAAAAAACGTTGGTCAGCCCCACATAACGCCTTCTGTCTCATGGACTAACCCACCAAAGGAATGCCCTTTCACTTCCCTCAAATTTCCCAAACCTTTACCCCAAAACTAATCCCCAAATCTCCAACACTCTCGTGCTTACTATTCGCCTGGAGAAAAAGCAAGAAAAGAGAGAAAAGAAAGCATTAACACCCACGGAATGAAATCCTAACACCCCCCCTTGTATGCCGAAATAAGTACTACTTTACCAAGCACGGAAATTGGCCAGTTCCCAAGCCTTGTAAAAGAGTCTAGCGGATAAAGTCGACAAATAATGCACAGGAGACATTGTTTTTGGACCAGGAACTGGTCCCTAACCGCTGCTAATCTTCTTCTTCTTCTTCTTCTTCTTCTTCTTCTTCTTCTTCTTCTTCTTCTTCTTCTTCTTCTTCTTCTTCTTCTTCTTCTTCTTCTTCTTCTACGCAAACGATTAGACATACATTGTCCTCTCTATTGTTGTAAATACAATGCAGTTCAGAAACTCGTTCACGCAGTTCCTGGTCCACTATAGTAGGAGATCGGAATCAAATTGTTCCCTATCTAACGAGGTCGACCTTTCCCACCAGTACAGTAATGAGCGCTAGAAGACAAATTACATGAGGAATCAATAGGAGGATCCCCTATCAGCCAACAGAGAGACAACAACTTTGACCCAGCATAACCGGGAGGGTTTTGTTTAGATACCCCGCTTTCAAAGCCATCGACCCACTGTGACATATCGCAGAAAGGGGGTCAAACGTAAACTTTGTCTATAGATTTTCATTCGAAATATTTTTTTTAAGTGATTTCATTTATACCCAGTTCTATACCAGTGTAGATGCAATAAGGTATATTAAATCGGACTAATTAAGCAGCTAGTACCAATACATAATGGTTTAATACGCAGACAATCCACCAGAATGGCATATCCTTATTCGAAGAGAAAACACACTAAAGTCCGATTAGGTCATACACTACAAATCGCCTTTCAATAGCTTTCAGTTCACTTGTCACTTGGCTTGCTGTGGCCAGGTTGTGGGAGGGGCCTGGCGTCTGAGACTCCAATTTTCGCAACATACATCGTGCAATAATATGTCCAGTCTGATTACAATAAAAACAGCGGAGAGTGGCAACTGCTCTCGCGTAGCGACACTGCACGAATGTGTTGGACTTATAACTACAGGAAAACAATAAATGTGGAAAATTTCAACTGACTAACGTTACTGCCCATAGTAACAAATCCAGCAAAAGTAATTTTAGTGTTTAATAAATTATATACGTTCATTATGTATGTATACTTGTCAATTAAGGAGATTGGGCGAAATATTTCCTAAAATGATGAAATAATTTACCATCTCTATTTTTCACTAATAAATAATTTTTCACTAATTTATTAAGTTGATAAGATTACGGACGTCGTCTACGAGTCGCTTAAACCCACCGCACACGAGAGCTATCAGTTGAACTAAACAACTCGCTAGGCTGTTAATACCTCCGAAGGTTTCTCTATTGTGCGGATAGTTTTCGTGAGAAATCCACTTGTGTTTTCGGGCTGAGCGAACTGCCACGTGATGTCGTTAGCTCAGCTGATAGTTCTCGTATGCGGTAGGCTTTAATGGTCAGTTGCTCGTTAAAAATTATATTCATCTTTGTAATTAGCTTAAAGAAAGGCATCATTTCCAGAGATAATATACGTCTCTTTGTAACAAATAATGAATGTAATCTAATTCTGGCTTTTGGGTAGACCATAAATGCGTATATAATTATTACTGATTTTTAAAAAAATATATCCGACAAACCAAAAAAAGCATCTGTTGGACGCATTTTTTCAAATAAAGGCAATATAATTATGCGTTTTTGTCAAACTGCTTCTTCCTGCCTACTAAGCAACGCTCAGGAATATTGTTGCGTTTTGTGGAAAAATAAGTGGAATAAATGAATATTTAAATTTATGTGGAGTGATAAGTTACTCTCGTGTGCGGATAGTTTTTCGTGAGGAGTTCGCCTCGAGAGGCAAGTTTTTCACGTGTGCGGATGCTTTTCAAGCTGAGGTAACCCAGGTCGTTGGCTCAGCTGATAGTTCTTGTTTTCAGCGAGCTTAAGCCATCCGCACACAAGAGCAATTTGCCTCTCGAGGCGAATTCCTCACGACAACTTGCTGAGTTAATCAGTATCCTTGCCAAGTCTTCAGCTCAGTTAATAAATAGTTCTCGTGTGCGGTGGGCTTAACGTCACGTTTTTCAATTTCAAGATTTCACTGTGCAACAGATGCAAATTGATGATACTTCATCAATCGATCCTCTTAGCAATCTTTCTTGGGACACGCTTGAAACTAGATGGCCTGGTGTCAAGTCAGTATTGATGTACAAGATACTTAATGAACACACTGCGCCGGCTCTCCGGGAGTCTTTTGTGAGAAGAGAAATGGATCAAACTAATTATCATCTCCAAAACTTTACAACAAACCTAAGTTTCCTTAGGCTGAATCGAGAGTACCTTAAAAAGTTTCAAATATAGCGGCGCTATATGCTTTGGAATCGGCTCCCAAACGAAGCAAAATCAGCCGAGTTACTTCGTTTGTTTAAATCAATTGTTGTTGGACACTAAAACGTATCCTACTTATATTCATATAATCTATCTATGTGTGAAACTGTCTATGTGTATATTGTCCTGTTTTATAGTCTTATTAACTTTTTTTAATAATTTAAACACGCCCCTCATGGAAACCAGCTAGAGTGTTTCTTGGTTTTAAATAAAGTTTTACCTAACTACCTTTCTACCTACCTACCTACCTACCTATACCTACCTACTTACCTACCTACCTACCTGCTTACCTACCTACCTACCTACCTACCTACCTACCTACCTACCTACCTACCTACCTACCTACCAACCTACTTATCTATCTATATCTACCTATCTACCTACCTACCTACCTACCTACCTACCTACCTTCTTGCCTAACTACCTACCTACCTACCAACCTACCTGCCTACCTACCTACCTACCTACCTACCTACCTACCTACCTACCTACCTACCTACCTACCTACCTACCTACCTACCTACCTACCTACCTACCAACCTACCTACCTACCTACCTACCTACCTACCTACCTACCTACCTACCTACCTACCTACCTACCTACCTACCTACCTACCTACCTACCTACCTACCTACCTACCTACCTACCTACCTAACTACCTACCTACCTACCTACCTACCTACCTACCTACCTACCTACCTACCTACCTTCCTACCTACCTACCTACCTACCTACCAACCTACCTGCCTGCCTACCTGCCTACCTGCCTACCTGCCTACCTACCTACCTACCTACCTACCTACCTGCCTGCCTACCTTCCTACCTGCCTATCTACCTATCTACCTACCTACCTACCTACCTACCTACCTACCTACCTACCTACCTACCTACCTACCTACCTACCTACCTACCTACCTACCTACCTACCTACCTACCTACCTACCTACCTACCTACCTACCTACCTACCTACCTACCTTCCTACCTACCTACCTACCTACCTACCTACCTTTCTACCTGCCTGCCTACCTGCCTACCTGCCTACCTACCTACCTACCTGCCTGCCTACCTGCCTACCTGCCTATCTACCTATCTAACTACCTACCTACCTACCTACCTACTTACCTACCTACCTACCTACCTACCTACCTACCTACCTACCTTCCTACCTACCTTCCTACCTACCTACCTACCTACCTACCTACCTACCTACCTTGCCTAACCTACCTACCTACCTACCTACCTGCCTACCTGCCTGCCTACCTGCCTACCTACCTACCTACCTACCTACCTACCTACCTACCTACCTACCTACCTACCTACCTACCTACCTACCTACCTACCTACCTACCTACCTACCTACCTACCTACCTACCTACCTGCCTGCCTACCTGCCTACCTGCCTACCTGCCTACCTACCTACCTACCTACCTATCTACTTACCTATCTATACCTACCTATCAAGGACAAAGGTACCGTTCCAGTTTACCCGAATTTAAAGAGTAAATTAAAAGTTGTATAAGTTATTAAAATATAAAAGAGTTGAGAAGATTTATAGCTTTTGTTTTAGGGCGCCATGGCGATTCGAAGAAGAACACGCTGTGTAGCAGGTATTCGTTTGTTTTGGAGAGTGAATGTTTCTGGAAATATGATAACATACCATAGGTTATGGGTTGTAAGGTTCAACAGGGTTGCCCGAAAACCATCCGCACACGTGAGAAACTTGCCTCTCGAGGCAAATTTCTCACGAAAACCTATCCGCACACGAAAGTAACTTGCTGAGCTAACAGTCACGTCAGGGGCCGGTTGTTCGAAAGGCGTTTAGCTTAAACGGTGGATAAGCCAAAGTTTAAAAATACTCTCATAGGTCTTGTGAATGACTTAACCTGCATCTTATGCATTTAATATGTACTTCCGTTGACAATTAAACCTTTTACATCGAAATATTTTAGCTCAGTTGTTCGATAAATAGATAATTTGGTTTTTTATTTTTAACTTATCCACAGTTGAAGCTAAACACCTTTCGAACAACCGGTCCCAGGTCTTTAGCTCAGCTAATAGCTCACGTGTGTGGCGGGCTTTAGGCTTTAAATTTTTAGCCCTGAAAAAATATAGATAAAAAGAAGGTACGTATGACCGGTTTAATTCATCGTCAAATTCCTGTCAGATATCTAAAGGAAGATTGAATTTGAAAAGTGAGTTTAAATTGACCAGTTATTCTAATATTTGTTACACGATTGAGGCGATCTATATATCACTGCAAAAAAAACATTGCATTGGCAAATTCAACACTTCGGTTGCCCATATTCAATATGGCCATTTAAACGAGGGAAAATAAGTCGCAGCTTAAATAAGAAGCGACCTCGTCGTATAGACGATACACAATGCTCGTTCATTCCCGTCTAAGATAAGACCCTCCCTAGTATGCAAGACGGGCTTGTTAGGCTCGTAGAAACGAACAGCTCGTGTCTTGTTCAAGTCATCATTCTTATTTTCCCCCGTATAACTGGCCCTATGTATATAAACGAAGTATATACAAAGTAAAAAAAGTATACAAAGTTTTCGAAGTATACAAAGTGAAGAAAGCCAACCACGTATGACACGTACGTAAAGACAAGCGACGGCAGCTGCTCGTATAGCTCAAGCATCCCCAGATATATTTTACTCATGGATGCTGGGGTATTGTTTTCTCCTGCCTGTGTAGAGTATGCTATCGCTGAATAATTAATGTATGGATGGATTAGCATTATTATATTTTGCACTCTGTCATTAAACCGCTCTTTTCCTACCAGAAGGATGATACTAAGCCTGACAGCTGAGACAAGTGCTCAACGCTATCGTTACAGATGGTTTCCTTTTCAAACGCTTTCATTAAAAAGTCCCGCTTCCTTTGATTTAAAACGAGTGAAAACGGGAGCCGAGGCTTAGCGCTTAAAATTACAGATAATCTTTCACAGTGCCGTGTTCTCACCGCATAATTAGATTTCTCGTCTTTGTAGTTATACTGTAGAACAACGTCTGCTAATATCGCTTACAACAACAAATGACATATTATTATAATTAAATGACATATTATTGGCAATAATTTTTTTTTTACTTTTTAGTTATTTTATGCGTATTGTTTGTATTGACTTCAGCTTTGTTTTGAAATGCCCTGCTTCCCTGCAACTTTTTACAAGCTTCGCTTTAGAGAGCGATGAATAATTTAATCACTTTATTGTAGTAGAGAAAATTACAAATTAAATATGAATAGTTAATGTTGCCAGTGGAGTTGTTTGTTTCTATAAATTTGTCTTTCACCGAGGAAATATACCGCCCTACCACTAGATACAACAGTATAATTATAGGTTACATGCTTGGATATCTTGTGTAAGCATTTAAAACGAAGCAGTTTTCGAACTTGTCATTTGAACCGATGGAAAGGTGTAGAATATAATTGCATGTACAGTACTTATATATTCAAATGCTCAAGCAAAACACTCATTTGCAATTCAAAACCAGATCGCCCACGACCTTTTAACTTCAGTATTTACATGCAGGTGTAGATATTGCTCCGAACAGCCGTTTGGGTCTTAGCCTAGACGAGTTGAGAGCTAGATACTGTTGCTTATTGAAATACTACAAGATTTGTTCCAAAGAACGGCCTGGGACGACATTTACGCACGGGAGACTCGCAAACTTTGCTCAAACACGTATCGAGAGGTATATGTTTTTTAAATTGGACGTGGCTAGTATTGTCAACAACGATGACAGACACACCGCTGCTGCCAAACATTGAACCAAATCCTTTGTGCCCGATGATAACGAATACGATGAACTCAAACATTGAAAACCAAATCCAACCGAACCAAGACGCTAAAATCATCATTAATGTTAGCGGTCTACGATTCCAAACGTATGTTAGCACCCTCGAAAAATTTCCCGACACATTGCTCGGCTCGGCCGAGAAACGTCAGCGATTCTACGATCCGGAGTTATCCGAATTGTTCTTCGATAGAAATCGTTCAGCGTTCGAAGCGATTCTTAGCTACTATCAAAACGACGGCTGTATATTCCGACCCGAAAACGTACCTGTGAAAATAATCGCTGGGGAAATAATATTCTTTGAGTTGGGTTCGGTTGCCATGAATCAATTGTTCGAGATTCCAGGCCATACGCCTGCTGCGGAGACTGTGTTGCCAAAGAACAAACTACAGCGTCGCGTTTGGCTGTTGTTTGAGCATCCGGACAGTTCAGTGTATGCTAGGATTCTAGCATTTTTCTCGCTGACTGTCATCATGGTATCCATAGTAACATTCTGCTTGGAAAGCATGCCCATGTTCAGCTGCCAGGAAGACAAGTGCTCAAATAAGAAAGATGAGCCCTGGCATTCAATAGAGATCGTTTGCATTGCCTGGTTTACAATTGAGTACCTCGCTCGGCTGCTCTCTGCCCCCGAAAAGATGAAATTCATCAGGTCATTCCTCAACATAATCGACCTGGTTGCTATATTGCCTTACTATATCACATTACCGCTAGATAACGCTACTGGTGGTTCGTTTGCCGTTCTTCGTGTTTTCAGATTGGTCCGCGTGTTCCGAATTTTCAAATTGTCGCGTCATTCCAAAGGTCTGCAGATACTTGGCCAAACGCTTCGCGCAAGTATGCGAGAGCTCGGAATGCTGATATTCTTCATGATCATCGTGGTAGTCCTCTTCTCCAGTGCTATATATTATGCTGAAGGAAACAACTTCTCATCCATCCCTGGGGCATTCTGGTGGTCCGTAGTTACCATGACAACGGTGGGATATGGCGACAAGTATCCAAAAACTTGGCAAGGCAAGCTCGTAGGCTCGATATGCGCTCTGTCAGGTGTACTAACCATTGCCCTCCCAGTCCCCGTCATCGTTTCAAATTTCACGTATTTCTACCAGAGTGAACATGAATACAGAGAATTCGAAGCGATGTCTGATAAATGGGAGGAAAACAAAGAGGATACCAAGGAATTGGATGGTACTGCAGATTTTTGTGGAGTGAAGGTATGTAACACTCCTGGAGCACCATGCATCAGCGAGGGTTATAATGAGTTGCAACAGCACAGCCCCAAAATTGAATCAAAAAAGATAGAAGAAATTGAACTCGCGGAAGTTGTCGTGACTTGAACAAACAATAGTTTATTTCATATTTAATTATTTATTGATTTATGTATTTATTGATGTATCGGTTGTAGGGAAAGAAAGCGAGGAATGGTCTTAAAACCTTGATATATGTAATTATAATATGCGTATAGAGATTTTTGCAAAGCAGAATGATGAAATAAAAATCGTATTTCATTGTGTAAATTAATTTCATGCAATTTGATTGGACGTACGATATTCTTCACACGTGAAAAATTGTCGCATTTCATTTTGGGGGCAATTTAACTAAAGTAACGTAAGCGAGAAATTTTAATTCCAAATATCTAATCCGAACTGTAATTTACATTTTCTTTCATGATGGCGTCGAAATATAGGAGTAAGATTCAAAACATTATTTTCACTGAGAGTTATGCGACACAATGCCGGAAAAGCCCGATTTTTCAGCCGGAAGTTAATTAATATGGATGTAAAAACACGTGTGACAATACCAACTGTATAAAATCCAGTGACACGGAAGTTTTTTCGTCATTTGCCACGAAGACACATAAGAATAGCGTTGAAGACAGGCTTTTTTGGTTTTGTCACCGGCAGTCTTTCCTTGTCGCAGCCGAGCCGCAAGAATTATAGCAGAAGCCGTTCAGCCGCAACCTATTGATGTGGATGACTTGCATGCATGTCGCTCCTCAACCTCCTCATGTGCACCAGCCGCCTGCGGTCGATCAGCAAGTGCCGCCCAATCGGCAAAATGTAGCAGTCGCCGTACAACCCGTAGAGCCTCAGGTTAGATACCTCTTATTAGCCAACCTTTCAAAGCCTTTTCAAACCATGCCTAGACATTTACGCCATATAGCTACTTTTTATACCATCGTCGTTCGTCTCGGATCCGCTTGCTTGCATGCGTGGCATGTCAGTGCCGACTTATTTTACCGTGACAGTTTTCTTATATGTTTTATATTCTTTTTACAATACCTTATTTTCGTATATCCTTATTGTTGGACTGACCAATATCTCTTGCTTGTACTGATTCTCGAGAGGGGCAAACTTAGTACGCCTTATACACTGTCTACGACGGCGTTCTCGTTTACCAGTTACTTGTAGTGGGATGGTTAAGTGCGCTTTACACTTTTACACTCGTTATTCTCCCACTATCGCTCATCTGACACATATTAGATGGCTCGTATGTATTTATTTAACGCCCCAGTGCTGGTGTAATCGCCTGATTCTTTTATCTATGTTTTTCTATGCTATACATATGGCTCGAGCATGCTTCTGTGTCCGCTTTGTAAACTTTTATACACCTTTCGTGTATGATAGCGTAGAATCAGCGAACCCAATTCGCTTTTAGATATGCCTTTGGTGCATGAGGCTAAATGGCTGCATGTTTATTATCGAATCCGCTGTGGGTGCAGCGGACCTTGAAAACTTCGATACGTCTTTGGTGCATGAGGCTAGATGCTTGCATGTTTATTATCGAATCCGCTGTGGGTGCAGCAGACCTTGTAAACTTCGATACGTCTTTGGTGCATGTATGAGGCTAGATGGCTGCATGTTTATTATCGGATCTGCTGTAGGTGCAGTAACTGTATATTAAGTTTGATATGCCTTTGGTGCACGAGGCTAGATGGGTGCATGTTTATTATCGGATCTGCTGTAGGTGCAGCTAATTTTTATTAACTTCGATACGCCTTTGGTGCATGAGGCTAGATGCTTGCATGTTTATTATCGAATCCGCTGTGGGTGCAGTAAATGTATATTAAGTTTGATATGCCTTTGGTGCATGAGGCTATCTGGATTTACACGATCTTGCTGTCGGTGCAGCGAACCTTGTTACTGTGATACGCCTTGGTGCATGAGGCTAAATGGATGCATGTTTATTATCCGCTGTGGGTGCAGCTAAATTTTATTAACTTGCATACGACTTTGGTGCATGAGGCCAGGTGGAGGTTTATTATCGAATTCGCTGTCGGTGCAGCTAATCTTAATTAATTTTGATATATATGCCTTCGGTGCATGAGGCGATGTAGACTTTTACCGTTGTAGGTTTGTGTAGCCTTCCCTTAACCTAATTCTGAGAATTGAAGAGATAATCCTTATTTGTATAATAGTTTATTTGTATTACTTCAATTAAAGGTACAACAGTCTTTAGTGCGTCGGCGCCTCGGGGGCTGGGCTGAAAATTTTTCTCCCCATACTTAGCAATAATCGGCTCAGGGCATTGTGTGGCAGAGCGACCAGTGAAAATATATTACTATTTTCACTGAGAGTTATGCGACACAATGCCGGAAAAGCCCGATTTTTCAGCCGGAAGTTAATTAATATGGATGTAAAAACACGTGTGACAATACCAACTGTATAAAATCCAGTGACACGGAAGTTTTTTCGTCATTTGCCACGAAGACACATAAGAATAGCGTTGGAGACAGGCTTTTTTGGTTTTGTTTGTTTTTTCACCCACCCCCCTCCCCTCGGCTGCGACACAACGGTTGCTCCGCCACGTTCTGCTTTGGGCTGAAAATTTTTCTCCCCATACTTAGCAATAATCGGCTCAGGGCATTGTGTGGCAGAGCGACCAGTGAAAATATATTACAATTCTCATATTCAAGATATTTTCACATTCGCACATTCTCAAATCTTTCGGAAAGAATATCTAACTTCTATTGAACAAAATTACAAAGGAAATTAAGGAACTGGACGGCAATAAATATGTTTTAATGCATAAATTATCGATTTTTGTTGCTGACTGTGCTTTTGTATATTAAAAGCGTGTCGTGGTCAAACTGATCTCTATACACATTAATTTCAATTAACAAATTACTTCGTGGTTGGCTCGTTTGTACGATTTTCATCATGAACTCGTTGTGAAAGATCGCAGACTCACTCTTTCACGACGCTCACCCGTTCGTTTTACGATCCTTCACAACTCGTGCATAAAAATCGTACGCACTCGCCAACATGCATAAAGTAATTTCTATTTATATAATGTAAATGCTGTGTGTCATACTTATAAGTGTATAGATGCGAAACATGATCGAATCGATTCCTGTGCACAAAATGAGCTATTAGAAGCGATTAGAGACTTAGAGTTTTTATTAAATTAACAGAATAGTTTATAGAAGAAAAGATTTTGAAATACCATAAAATTAATGCATTGGCCTTTGCAATTGTAACTGAAAAAATAGGCTTTTACTACAATCACATTTTTATCTCATGTTTGTTTTAATTATGTTTCACTTTCAACCGATGGTATTTCTGCTCACCCAAGGACGGCAAAGGCTGCAACAACGAAAACCAATGTTCCTTTGCAAAATGGCTCGATACATTATGAGTTATCACACTATGCTTAACAAACTAAATTAATGCGAGAAGAATAAATCATAAAAGGAGATCTATAAACGGCTCAGCCGTAGCGAGAGCCTAATAGAGTGTGTGGGGGGGGGTGCTCATTGGTTTCTTTCAAAATTCAAAAGTGGCGTTCCTTATGGTATACTCGAATATATGAATATACAGCCGTCGCTCCCCCCATTACGCAGTTGACGCGTTTAATCAACGGCCACAAAGCATGTACATATACTGATTGGATGCACGTTGGTCTGGAACGTGTCCTCGGGTATTTTACCGCTGATTATGTGACTTCACAGACGCCAACAAAAAATTGATTTAATCTGATAGAGTTTGTTCATGTCCCTTGAAAGATATCGGAAGGGAAATCAGAATCTTGCTAATAAATCATACCGCTATGTAAAAGTGCCTATATCAACCTCCGGGGAATAACCTACTTATAGATAGATTAGCACCATTTTCTTCTGAAGCAATAACTAATTGAAATTTAATCATATTAAATCCCCACTGGCTAAAATTTGTGAACACAGCATTCAAATTTTAACAATGAGTGATTTCAATATTTTTCGGTTTTTTTTGAGACACCCTGTAGACTTGAATCGTGACACTTGAAATTTGTACAAGAGTACTATTGCTTGGCAGGAAATCCCATGGGCTGTCACCTCATGACAGGAAAAGTAATTTTGTCATTGCGAAGGGCCATAGAAATATTAAACTTTACACGTCATGTTATGTGACATTTTTCACATGTAATTTCTTCATCAATATTGACCTATTATTTTTCGCAATGCTATTATACATTCTAATTTTATATTCGCATTTCGTAACACTTTAGCAAGGTTTCCACATCGCTGGTGCAAACCAAACCTTTTTTTCTAAGAGGTGGAAAACAACTGACGTTATTACTACACTGTGCTGTTTGTTGAAATGCGCCGGAGGCTAGCGATAATAAAGGATGCTTTCCACTGTTGCGTTTTTTGCACCAACATTCACGCGCGTAAAATTTTAAAACCTTGTAAATTGTTGTATAATTAACTTTATGCCAGAAAAACACCAAAACATCAAAAGAATGCAACCCTATAATATGCATCTATTCAATGGTTGATTTCATATAAGTATTATTTAAATGATTTTAAAATTTAACCTGCCTATTCGTACGTGCATCACTATTACTAGAAATACATGCATGCAGCAACCCCTCGCTATTTCAAACCAAGTACAGATTTCCTGAGTTAACCTGCCCTAAACTTATGACCTAAACTAAAATGACACAAAACCCAAATCAGTCTTTTTATATTTTACCGAGTATATTATAGATAATGTTTCCATCATTTAATACAAAAATAATCATAAAGCTAGTGTAAACATTGCCCGTTCAATTTTGCTGCATACCATGCCAGCAATTAAGTAACGGTTTAAAATCGAAGTTACAAGCGAATAAAACAATACAAAATCTTCACAGACAAAGAAAAAACTTCAAATGTTATTTTATTCTGTATTTGCAATCGACGCCGGCGGCTAAAAGTTTTTTACTTTATAAATTAGTGTGTATTTTTGATACCGAAATTCAAATTACACTTTCAAAAACACTTTTTGAAGTTAAAGCAAAGGTGTAATAGCTTTTCACAGGTTTATGCGTTTGCATAAAAAGCTGAAAATTTAACAAATAAGCGGCATACAAAGCTGAAAAGTATACAAATACGGCTCATTCTTACCGCGAAACAAATACGAAATAAACAAAGTAAACACGTACCCTTTGTCTTTGAAAACATTTATAAGCTTGCAGATTATGAATTATTCCTCTTACACGGCTTTGTCTTGACCGTATCCACGTTCATCTTTGCTATCTGTCATGCTTCATATATCTTGTTTCTTCTCGTTTTACTTTCTTTGCACGAAGTTTATGAAACGCATTTACAAAAATGTTTACGAAATGACAGTTAAATATCTGACGTTCTCATTTAAATACAAATTTTCTGTCTTAGCCAATCAGAACGTTGATTACCAGACGTTACTCGCGCATGCGCATAACTTACAAAACCACCCAACGTCGACCGTCCATGACATAGAATTTGGACAACTTTGGATTCGCCTATGTTCTACCGGGCTCCGGGTGTAATTCCTAATCTCCGAGCGGAATTAGTACTCTCGCAGGCGCTCCGCGCCCGCTCGGGGATAAAGACTGCTCAATTCTACTTTTGCGCTTTTTATACCCATGTACAGAGATAGAGAGAGATCAAAACATACAGACAGTGCAGGCCACCTGTAATAATCATAAAGGGCTAATCAGTGACAGGTGGCCTGCACACGCATGTGAAATTATAGGACAAAAATATTCAACAAAAATTCGGGGTTTTATTATTTGATTCAAAAAATCCTAAGAAAATTCGTCTTTTAAAGAAGCTAAAGAGTTCGTCAATAAAGTCAAAATCCTTTATAATTATTAACTAAATCTTCAGCTTCTTTCAAAAAGATGCTAGGGAGCCACTTTAATTATTTGTTACTTGTAATTAAAAATCTATTGTCTCCTAGGCAATCAGCATACTTTTGACTAATGTGCATTATGTCATGGAAATGAACAGGATTTTGTTCTATGAGTAGCATTAGGCTGTATAGTTATTTTTAGTTTCTACATTCACTCATGCAACCATAAAATAATGTTTCAGGCCAATTAATTACGTCATAAGTCTAAAGAAAAATCTTAGGAATGCATTGTTATCTGTCTACCACCTGAAAATCTTGCTTACCAAAAATCGTCCACTAAAGTCTGTTTCATCCATGTATAGGAATCATGAAACAGACTGTATTAGTGTACGGTTTTTGGGTAGCAATACCGAATTTACTCGTTTAAGTGCGAATGAGCGCAGCACCAATTATTTTAAATTCGGCGCTTAATCGATACACTGTCAGAATTGTTGAAGACGCTATTGTTAAATCGGTCTTTAGAATTCTCGTAAGGCGCAGGTCAGTCATGAAGGCAGAGATTCGATGCAGTGACTTGTGCGAGGAGTTTGTTTTCTGTGAAAGGTTCAGTCAAAGTGGGGACATTTAGCTACATTTAAGATTTTGATTATTTTGTTTAAAGTTCTTGTTACTTTTTACAAATATTTTTTTTAAGGAGTGCCGCCCCCAATTGATCGCTGCCATCGATCAAACGCTTCATATTAAGTTTTAAAAATTTAAAGAGCGCCGCGCACTCAAACGAGTGGATAAGTAGATAGATATTTAATAAAATGAACACTTTGCAGCTATTACAGCTGAATTATGTGTTACATGTACATTTTAAAACCTAAGTAGAATACAATATAAAAACTATATAGCTACAAATTTATTTGATAGAGAATTCTCTGATACCAGCAAAAATAAAAGATCTTAAAAATCTATTGGTTTTTGCAATTGGTAAATACAGTACTATACTTAATTGTTTGCATGCAATCAGCATGAGGCCACAAAACTAATGCATGCAGTGATGTTCATATTAAAAAAGTCGTTTAAGTTTCATTATTTCTTTATACATTATTAACAAGAGGAAAATCCATATTATTTTATACAATATTTGGTAATTAAAAAGCCGCCTTAGATATTGAAAAATAATATATAAATGAATTTCATTTTATCTACATGCATGAACACATCAACAAGCGGTACGTTTTTCCATGCTTGGCCACTAAATGTTTCCTTCACAACACAAGGATTTTATTTCTTGTTTCAAAAAAATCCTGTGAAAATTCTTCTTTTAAAGAAGCTAAAGATTTAGTCAATAATTACAAAAATATTTAGTATATATTATATGTTTTCTGTGATATGTCCAAATGCTCGCTGTCAAAATGGGGAACAAATATTTTTTCAAGAGCGCAGCCCCGGGTTAAGCGCTTCATCTGAAGTTTTAAAAATTTTAAATGAGCCACATACTCGAACGAGTAAATACAGTACTTACTTAATTGTTTGCATGCAATCAGCACGGGTTTGCAAAACTATAATGCATGCATTAATATTTATGTTAAAAAAGTCGTTTAAGTTTCAATATTCCTTTATTATACATACATTATTAACAAGAGCAAAATTTATATTATTTTATTCAACATTTGGTAATTAAAAAGCTGTGTTAGACATTGAAAAGTATTATATAAATGAATTTTGTCTAAATGCATGGACACATCAACAAGCGGTACATTTTCCCATGCTTGGTCACCGAATGTTTCCTTTACGACACAACATTGACATGTTAATGCTTATCTCAGTGTCTCTTTGGGTAGTGGTAATTTCAAAGAACGCAGTATTTAAAAGATACGAGCGGAAATATTTCCCGTGTGATATCATCGAACGAAAGCAAGGAATTAGCGAAATGGAATGTGGGTTGTCTTGCCTTCGACAGGGATCTTGCACGTCAGTGAATTATAAGACGTCTAGTAATGGTCAAAATCTTTGCGAGCTTATCGTTCAGAATCATAAGGATAACTCTGAAATGTGCAACGGAAAGCACAACCCGGAATTTTTGCATCTAGAACTGATTGAAATAGTAAGTGAAAGCTTGAGTTCAAATTCCTGTTAAGGCATCCCTATAAAAGAGTGTTCAATACAAAAGTATAGACTATAGAGCAATAAAAATATCAAATACAGCTTGAATCACAGCATACGGACTTATTCAAAGCCCGGATTTGCAGGCCGGATGAGGTTTTTGAAAATAGATTAGGAGAGTTAAGAGGGTTTTTGCTCAGGAGGGGTATTGGTAATGAGTTTGTCCAGAGCCAGTTTGATCGTGCGAGGAATTTGGCTCGTTTGGTATTGGATAGTAGGGAAAGTTGTAAGAACATATAGTGACTTTCATCGTTTCTGACGATGGAGCTGTGCCCTGAAACGTATATTAGATTAAGTAATATAATTTCAATTATTATTAAAAAGATCTTCTTTAAGAGAAGTTTTATGTTTGTATATATATAATAATATATATAATTATAAATTATGGCAAGTACTGCTTGTTATACGAAGCAAATTTGTAATTGACAATTCCCCGCCCACTTGTCCATTTCCAAATAATTATGGTGGGACTCGAGCGTGTAAGGTTTGTTGAAATCGACTGTAATTTTTGAAACTTGGGAACATAAGCCCTTGCTAATTATTATGAAACTTGTCGGATTAAAATTAACTAAATTTTAATAAAAATCCATTTACAGAATGACAACATTGATATTGCTGTGGTCAGTCGTGGACATATCAGCAAACCTAAGTCAGGAAGCTACGCCATTATTGATATAAATGGCAAAGATCACTCAAAAAATACTCGTGGCTTCAACATCGTCGTTGTTAACGGCAAAAATGGTAAGAATAAACTATAAATATATTCGCTGATTCCCTGATATGTTTGACACATATAAACATGTGACACACACAAAGTAGCCTCTCTCTTTGGAATCCAGCCCAGGCTCAACCCCGACTCTTTTCATAAAATTAGTGCTTCAGATTTATTCAGTTTTTCAAATAATTATAAATCTAGAATTTATGTTCTAGCATTTATTGTTCTTTTATTTAATAGATTTTGGTATGCTTAATTCTTTCAAAGTGATTATACTGCAATTTATTATAACTAACTGCCTTGTTCCGAGTAATGCAACAACACAACACAATACCGTTGAACTTTACGTATCGACGGTCTTCCAAACATACGTCCCACATTTCTATACAGCCGCACTGAGTTGGTTGTAATCTAATTAATCTCATGGAATAGATGATTTTTGCTTGCCCTGTGACTTTCAGAATTTTATGAGAATTTCGAAGTTGCGGTAATGGTAATAGTAACATTGAAAATGCACCATGGGGCTGTTTTTATGACGAAGCTTTTGTTTACCTTTCAAAAACAGTCCCTTAATGCTATATTGGCCTCCACTATACCGCAACTTCTGAATGGCCAAAAAATAACAATATCAACAAATGCATAAAAAAAAAATCATAAAAATAACAAATATATTTAGGGAAGGTCGAAGAGTCACGTTCATTTGACACACATCACTTAGTAGAGGAAGTACATTACATGACAGCATTCCTTAACGATCTCTCTACCAAACCAAAGTAAGTCAAGTTTCAGTTAAGTGCTAGCGATTTATACACTAATTTTTAATGTTATATGAAATAGGCGTTTCCAACCAGCAGAATGCAATATTGTTGTACACGCCTAAAAACGATCAGGTTCATGATGCAATATTTATATCAACAGGTTGGAGCAATGTTGTACCGCCGACATTGTTTAGGGTTGTTATCAACGTCAGACAATACTGTTACACCTGATTTGGTTTCATCAATATTGTTCAATGTTGTTGACAAGTGTGAACAATAATGGCAGCACAACATTGTTGCATGCTGATGAACCGCAGCTCAAAGTTTTTAGCCGTGTACTCTTTTCGGTTCTACCCTTTACTGACTTTCAAGTGAACTTATTATAGCAAGCACAGGGTAGAATAAGTTCATATCCCCACGTTTTTCCTCACTAACTCCTATTTTTGCTTAAAATAAAGAAATAGCGAAATTATCTTAAGTCTCTCTTCTTCGATCGACAAAAGTAGTAATTAAAAAACTAGTGAATTAAAATTAATTAAAAAAATTAAAACTTAACAAAGAAGTGGCCTGTTGCAGAAGGAGGGTAAAATCCAAGAATATGATCGATATTTCATTTTGTTATTATTTCAGTAACGATTAATAAACACAACCACGTTCACGGCCTGTGTTATGATATAGTTAGCAATTATTGAGTGAGGTTGAACATGATATGAAGAATTATCAAGCCGAAGTTTGTCATTATCAACCGAAGACAAAGGCTGAGGTTTTCACACATGGCTATTAGCCAATCACAGACTGTGAATTATTTTAAATAAATAATAATTATACTTATTTTACTGAAGTAGTCTAGCTGTTCGGTTTCAAATAAAGTAATAAATGTATCGATTGTTAGTAATATCATAATAAAAAAGAAAATAATCCTTTTCATCTTTTCTAGCAAAATCATTATCGCCGCTATTAAAGATGAAGGTCGAAGAAAATTGACAACGGAAGCATTCAATGCTCTTTCGACGATAACCGGAGTGGCTGGTATATCATCAAAGCTTGCGTATAGAGGCTCGTTGTCAATGATTGGATTTTCGGAAGCCAAAAAGCCTTCGTTTGTAAACCTGGTAAGACAAGTCGCATTTAATAGCCCATTTATAACCATCCATAGCGAATCATGTCATTGATGTCAACATTGACTCATATATATGATACCGAAATCATTGCATCGAAACATTTGAAATGCTGTATGCCAATGAAACGATTTTCTCTTCCAATCCAGGCGAGGAATTTTGCTATAGCAAAAATTGTTCTAATTGAGTGCAGGGTAATAATTATATAACATCAATGATAACAAAACTTCATGTCATTTATTGAAACTTTGGGAAACCACAGAAAAACTATATATATAAGGGCGCTGTGATGGCGATGTTACATTATGCAACTTTCCTTGTAACTTTTAATGCAATTCTCCTCTTGAGGTATCTAAGTTGACAAAAACGAACATTTTCTACGATCTGCTAAAGTTTCCTTAGCATTTACTATTTACAAATTAGCATCCTAATCGTAGAAGTTTTATTTTATAGCCTGTAAAACGTTTAATATTGGAAAAGTTTTAATTACTCGAGCTTCAGCTCGGAGGCAAAAATATTTAGAAATAAATAAAACCAATTCCGTCGTTCTAGCGTTAAAATCTATTTGCTATTTTCCACCATTGGGTATGTTTAAGCTGGGTAACTATAGTGTTTGAAGATTCCTACAGGGCTTGCAATATCTTGCAACTTGCCTTACAATTAAATACAATATGACATAAAAAGATATTTTTATCGCTTTAAATCACTACCTAGTGTTTTTAATTTCAACAGGTAATGAAAAGCGAAAATCAAGAGACAAGTGTCATCAAGCAAATAATCCGCATTCCTGTCATAATTAATTAGACGCAGCATTTACTAAAGGAATACATTAAAAGTTATTACTATAAAATAGCTGTAGGATTGTGAATGAAAGAAAAGAGCTGTTTCTGGAATGCTATTCAGCTAGGGAGTCCCCAAAAGGCCAACTCCTGGAAACTATTATTGAAATCACCAATCGCATCCTAATATATTACACATACCTTGTTGGGACCTTCAAGTCTATAATTGTTTAACATAAGCATTTTTATGTAATGTGATTTATTTACGCATAGATATATTGCCAGACATGAATTTTGCATACCCTTTCCGCAGCTCAGTTTTCTGAGCATAATAAAGACACATTAAATTTTACGCCGTTTTGGGATAATTTTGGCTAGGAGTAATGGTTCTCCTATAGCCGCTTTATTTCTGTTAAACAAAACGATATTTATTAAAGTGCCTATATCACTTGTGGGATCTTTACGGATTTGAATAGGGCTTGAAAAGTTTGTTTATAAGTTCCACAACCTTTTTTAATATAATTAAATAGTTTCGAAAATACGTCGGTTTGGGGGACTGGGACTCAGGAATGATTTGCAAACACGCCGTCTTTTATAATGTAAACATGAAGAGTTTCACTGGCGATATAGTTTGCGCTTTTCAAGAAAAAAATGCGGGAACGGTGCGTTGTGTATCGCTGTAGCAACTGGGCGAGTTTTTCTCAAAATATTTTACGTTATTGGAAGATCGAAGTAAAATTACAATTGATTATATTACGTTTGACTAGAACTCGTTCCTGAGTCCCAGGCCCCCGAGCACGACGGAAATTTAGGCAAATCGTCATGTTTAGACGTAAATATTTCCGAAACTATTTATCTATATCAAAAAGGGATGTAGAACTTATAAACTAATTTTTCAAGCTCTATTTAAATCCGCAAAGATCTCACAAGTGATATAGGCACTTTAATACATTGCATTAAAATTCCAAATATTTACGCTCAGAAAAGGGTGGAGGTAAATTACCGCCAGCACCTGTAGATACGGCCTACGACCATCACTAATTAAGATATAACGTTCCTTCCTCTATACATATATATCAGTTACGGTAAATCGTCCAATGTACATGGGACGTACAATGTACGTGGGTTCAACTTTAAAGGAGCTCTGTCTTTTGCGATGTCACGCTTCACGTTGGTCATATTCGGCAAATTTTCTCCCGGTAAAGAGGGCTCAGTTTTCCAGCGGTCTTCGCATAAAAAATTAAAAGCTTTTCGTTTTACGCTCTGCTCTCAATTTTGTGTAGGTTGTCCGCTGACAACATGAGCCCGCACGAGTGGGAGAAACTTAGCTAAGTTGGACCAGCGTGCTTAAACTGACCGTTTGTGGTTTGGGTAATCGGTCTTTGTTAGTTTTCGATTTGCTGCTTGCCATTCACCACCTTTCCCATATTGCGTGCCATCCATTACCTGTCGGTCTTTTAGATAGGACGCAAAGCCCATAATATAAGATTTTTAATTATCGTCGGCAAGGCGTATCCCCATGGGGGTACACCTTGCCTTAGTAGTCTATTTATAAAATCACATTACATAAATTTCTTATTTCCTTCGTAAATATTTTGTTTTACGCATGATAACTGAGTAAAATTTTTTTATAGAGTTAAAATAACATTAAATATAAAAAATGTACAAATTTTTTTTAAAACGTTACCATCGTTATAGTACCCATTGCGTAAAATTTTGATGCAAAATTATTTCAACAAACGGTAGGGAGCACATTAACTACAATTAAGTTAACTATAGTCTTTTATACCACTATAGCCTCTGGTCAGTGAAATTTCAAAAAATAGGTGATTTCTATTGTTTTGGTTTTAATTTTTTTTGAGACGCTCTCTTCACTCGCTTCTGAATGCTTATTGTTTTTTTTCCTAGTAATGGTATCGCATAGTTGAGTTTAAATTATACTTGCTCTGATTTTGGGTGCTACGCATCTTTCTGAATATAGACCCATAGCCATAAACTAATTCAGAAATATATTATACAGCAAAACATAATTATAGTGCGAACTGTGAAAAATATAGCATAGAAATGTACCTACACAAATGTAAAAATAGGTACGCTAAGCGTACGTGTATCTGCTCACAACAATCTAGTTTGGACAGCAAATGGACCATATGGATTTGGCCATGTTTTTTAATTTCCTACACTATTTTACCGCTGTTCAAGCAATAGGAAATATGCTTAGTAATATGTAGTAATGTGAGACATGACAGTAATATAGACGTGCTCTGTTTTGGGAGGTCTCACTGGCTTGTTTGCGTTTCCTATATTCCCTTGCATATGCTCTTCGCTTTTGCTTAGCATAAGGGCTCTGCATTTCATTAGCTCGTTTTTCCTTCATGTATTTTTTCATATATTCTGTTCTTCTTTGCTTAGGCTGAGAGCTCCTATTTGACTGTTCAGGTCTTCAGGTTTAAGAAGTACCTGATGGGAAAGTTGATACATAATGATACTCATCTATATGACCTAAATAAATATCTCTAAGTTGATCTGTTGGTGAATATCCCAGTACTATAATGATTCAGAAAATTGTTCATGTGTCTCACTAATGACTATCTTTAACTTCAGCTGATCAGCCACAGCTTGTATAATCATAGCATCACCCCATGACCCTTGCATGGACATAATATTGAGGTATTCTAACCATGAGTTTTCAGTGTTACTTTCAATGAATCTCTCAGGATTAGCCCTCATATAAGCAATGCCAAATGCTCGAACTTGTAGATGGTGATAAGGGTCACCATATAACTGATGAGACCCAGCTCGAAAAAGGCAGTCGCCATCACCACCAACATCAAATGGTCTTAAATATAATGAAAGCGTTGCAGCCTTTGATCTAACACTACATTTGATGACAGTCTAGTGGGACTGTTGTTTTGAACAGGACCAGGATTTCTTTCAATATCTGAAAACATTAGTTTCCTTTGAGATATGTGATATTGTTTACTAGCAATATTGCCTGCTATCTTGTGACTGTATAAAACATTACAAAATGATTTTTTACTATATATGAATTATTTTTTCTACTAAGTTGACAAAAGACTTTAAATATCCGAATGAATTGATAAAAATATGTCGCATTGGCACAAATTGAAAACAACATTGCTTGAAATTACTAGCTATCTTATTTAAAATGGATGGCCTAGGGGCATTTCTTACAAAATAATGCTTTAAAGTGGTGGATCTACTTTTTCTCTTTCTCATAGCCAATATAATTCTCTTTAAAGGCAACCTGAAAGGTGCAAGGTCTCTAGATCGCTTGGTATTTGTCTGCTTTGTCAATTACCGTACATTTGGTCGGTGGCGACAACAGCAGCTACGCGTATAGTGATCTGAATTTATACACCTAACACAGCTGCTATCTATACAATACAAATGTATATTGTATAATGGTTCGCTGGTGAATTCCTTTAGGTTTCGTTAATCGTCTCAGAAGAGATTGTTTCGATCTCCGAAGAGATTGACTATTTACCTCATGCGGATAAATTTCCATGTTCAGAAAAACTTGGATAAAAAAACACAGAAAAAGATTTCTTGAAGCCAAAATTGCAATAGCGAGTCACGAGTATATGTTTATATTTTCTGCATGCTTTAGGTTATGGACTCATGCTGTGAGCGCGTAATAAACTAATCGCTGATTGGCTAATTATATAAGCGCATCGCTGAATGGCTATGTGCTAACACACGGTACGGTACGCGCACGATAGCATTATATCTGCGTTCGCAGATACAAAAATCGTTGCACGCACGTCAAGAAGCAAAATGTAGTTATGACCACCTAATACTTAAGCGGCAATATAGCTTATAAACGGCATGGTATAATGGGAAAGGGAAATAAAAATTATCTTTGCTTATTTTAATAGAAAGTCATGACTATGTACAAAATTCGTTTACGGATTTTTGTTTACTTTATCACTTTTCAAGATATTTTTTAGTGAAATTATCTTCCATCCACCATTTTGGATATGCATACTCTTGCTCTTGATCGCAGAAAAGTTCTGAGACCCCCAATTTCTTTGGCGTTAAATATCTAGGCTATAGATGCTTTATTAATTTTATAAAAAGTTTTAAAAAAATGCTGTGATGGGGAATATTTTTTAATAAGCCTGATTAACGTTTTTTTAAATCGAAAAAAATCCCCATGACATATTGTTTTAAAACTTTTTTCTATTACATATT